TAGATTGAACAAATCCTTAAATCTAGATACAACCAGTTGATTCTGGCTACGATTAGAATATTTTATTATCTTTAACAATATCTCATAGCTCAATGATATCTTAAATTAGGATATTAAATTTAAAACAATTTTTATAAATATGATATAATATGATTAAAATATCTAGCATTAATAGCTTGAGTAGAGGAGGCAAATGATGAGAGAAAATTTGTTTTGTTTTTCTTCGTTCTGACTTGGTTGTAGATACGTAATGTTTCCCTATGCTCATCAGTGAATGAAAGTATTTCAGTTATAATTTTCTTTTAAAAAAAAAAATGGTCGGTAGCTCGTGGAGGCATAAGGAGGTAAAAGTAACAATTAGAGGACAATGGTGATGAGAAATGAAGGAGACAAGCGTGGACCTGTTTTGGTTTAGAGAATGTCATAATCAAAGATGTGTGAAGAAAGGAAATTAGCGGATGAGTAATTGGAGAGTATGAGAGTGAAGTGGACAGAGACGTCTGGGGTGAGTTCCTTGTCCACGCTGGAGCTGTGCTCTCATGGACCCAATCCAAACCACGTGACCTTCATCTGGGCCCCGGTCCCACTCCCTCCCTCTTTTCCTAACCAATCTTCTTCATACACGTCGCATTCCACCTTTGCTCTTTTTCTCAATTTAATATTCCGACAACTTAGGCAACTCCCGCCTCTTCAATATTGTACTGCTCCTTCCGTTTTTTATTTATGGGAGGGGGAAAAAGGCATCACATGATCTAAAAAAAATTAGTTTATGATATTAATTATATTTAAAAATAAAAGAATTAAACTATAATATTATTTATTAATAATATTAATCAACCTTTCATTAATGATTTTTTATGACGGTAAATGATAAAATTATAAAGAGAAAAAAAAATTAATCTTTTAATCCTTCAACTTTTAACTCACTTGTAATTCAGTCCCTCAACTATGACTCGCTGCGACTCAATCTCTCAACTATAACTTGCTGCGGCTCAATTCCTCAACTTTTGATTCACCTATAACTCAATCCTTATTTTTTAATTTTTTTTAAAATTTCTTATCAAATAAGAGGGATAAAAAAATGCTCATATATTATTTTAAAATACCCTCATCTTGCTCATTGATGTGAAATCTAAGCTAACATGAAAAAAAAAATTAACAAAAGTTAAGGGACTAATTTGTAAGTGGTTCAAAAGTTAAAAAACTGAGTTATAGGCAAGTCATAGTTGAGGTACTGAGTCACGACGATTCATAGTTAAGGACTGAGTTATAAGTGACATAAAAATTGGACGATTAAAAAATTAATTTTTCCAAAAGTAATTTAAAAAATTTATAATAAATACTTATTAAAAATATGATTTTATTTATATAAAAATGACAGTCTCTCTTATAAATAAAAAAAAGGAGGGAATGCTTCTCTACTTTTATTTATACAGTGAGAAAAAAACATTAATTTTAATTTTATTTATAAAATATTTTATTATTTTTATATTCATCTTTATCTTTTTGTACAGGATAAGTAAGAACTTATTAAATTTTAAATAAATTTAATGAGATTTAAATTTTTCCTTACCTTCAATAAAACATGTTATAAATAATTTATAAATAAAACTAAAAGAGTAGTTAAACCTCAATTTATGTTAATAATTTAGTATATTATTATTTGTCATGCTTAATTGTCAAGAGATATTAGGACATTTAATTACCTTGTTTTGTGTTTTGGTATAATTCTCTTTTTTAATCAGAACAAGCGAGAGGATTTTCTTTTCTTCCCCTTTCTTCCTCAATCCCTCCTCCCTCTTTATTCTAGCCATTAAGATTAATAGTTTGGATGGTTTGGATTTGATCATTTTTAAAATATTTATTTTTTATTTGATTTTTACTAAAATTTTGAACTGTTCAAATTAAATTTATAACAGTTTAAATTTAATTATTTATTTTTTATAATTTAAAATTTTAATAATAATTTTACAAGCATCAAATTTCAACCATTCAAATCTTGATTTAACGGTTAAAAAAGAAGAGAAGGAAATAAGAGAAAATCCTTACCCTGTATGAAATATGACATTGTACAATATACATAATAATTTTTAAAATTTTAAGATATAGACACAACTGTGTGTATGCAATATTTTAAATTCTTAGAATATAAGTTAAGTATCTTGAATTTTAAACAATATTTATAAAATGACATAAAAATATTCATAGCAATCAATTAAAAAATTAATTTTTAAGTTTTTAAGTAGTGTAGAAATATTTTATTAAAAATCCATGATACAAATGTTAAAACATGTGATACATGTCATGAAATATAATACATGTGTTGCATGAGGTACATGTACTATATTTTACATGCTCTCTCGCTCTACAATTAAGTTTGGCCTTACTAGTGTTCGGAGTGCTTGCTAAACAATTCAAACTACCATCATCTAAATGCGAGGCTTAAAATAAGGTATGCATTGAGCCACAAGGTGAAACCAGGCCAGGGCGATGAGTGGGACTATGGCTATAAGGTCACGGCTTATTTTTTAGATTACTTTAACAGTCTGAGAAATAGGTTTGTGTCATAACTAAATGAAAAGAGAAACACACTTGGTGAACTAGAGTATCACTATAGTTGGAGAAGTTGGTGACAGGGGAAATGCAAGTGGTGTTCAACATGAACTGCTCCTTTTAAAAATTCTTTTTCTTTTATCTTCGGGCGACCTGATTCTCCTTCAAACTTGTGCTTGCTATTAAAATTGAGATCAAACACGCTCGTTAGGCATCTCTAGTCACACACCCCAAAAATTCACTTTACTGACCCTTTTAAGTTTAGTTAATTTGAGTTTAAAATTAAAGATGCTACACGCGACACGTGCTATGGTGCATGGTGCGGAAACGCTACACTTCACTTCGTCCATGAGCTTGGGCCAAGATCCCACCCAAAACCTATTTTGAGACCCCATTTTACCGAAACAAATCATTTTAAGTTCATTTTAAGTCATAGTTTCATGCCTAAACTCATGGGTGAACTTAAATAATCTCAACTTCAATTTATTCTCCAAATCAATCCTGAAAACAATACCAACCCTAAATATATGTCCTCATTTAAAATTTCAATTTTTACAGTTAATTTATGATTTAAAAATTAGGACATTATATAACTAATCATTTCGTATGCCTATATCCTTTGTATGCACACGCTTAATTGACAAAAAGCAAGCTGTGTATGATACGCCAGTGCATAGATTAATAAGGTGGCAAACTCTGAGAGAGAGAATTAAAAGGCTTTTTCTGATCACCTTGGCCGCTGGGCGGCTTTTGTACAGGCATACTCGTCTCCTTCACGATAAACTTAATTTGACGAAGACGAGTTGCCCAGCATATCTAGGACAAAATTTGACAGGGTGATTTTTTCCCTCCTTATATAACCATCTTAATTATTCAGTTACTCCCGCCATTCACACGCGCACACACACACATTATATGCGCCATTTTTTATTGTATATAGATACTTTTTGCTGTAGGATGATAATCCTTTTTAATATTATTATTAAAAAACTAATCATAAATTCATACATTATACTTCCTCTATTAAAAAATATAAAATATTTTTTTGAGAAATTAGATATTAAAAAATATAAAGTATTTTTAATTTTTCAAAGCGTAATCATTGTCTTTTTTTTTAAGTGTTCATATTAATAATAACTTTATATTTATTATATGATGTTTAATATAAATAATTATAAAAATATAAAGTTAGCTTGAAAATAAGTAATTACTTTATTAGAGGGTGAGATTCAACTAAAAATATTTTATATTTTTAAATAAAGACAGTATAAAGTTTGAAAATATTATCGAGTGCCATTTATAAGGCTAGACTTTTTTTTATCATTGATATTAAAGGCATGTTTGATTTATGTTTTGAGTTTTTGTCTGTTTTAAAAAATAAAAAATAAAAAAATTCATTTGGACAAGCATTTTGGATTTAGTTATTTTTATTATTTTTTTTAAAATATATTCCATTTGATTATTGAAAAATATAACTAGCTTGATTGATCTTTATTATAAATCACTACTATTGATTGCCTTCAATTAGCACAGTCAAGTTATTTTTCAATTTTAAAACTGTTTTTTAATTAACATAACTAAACAGATTTTTATTTTATTTTATTTTTAAAAACAATTCTAAAAACTATTAGAAAACAATTTTTGAAAAAGGTGAGAACAGAAATAAACCAAACAGTTGCGCTGCACAATTGTCTCCTTCTTCGGATCAATCTCAATTAATTTACCTCACGTCACGGTTCCGTTGTGTCCTGCCCTGTCAGAAGAATGGACAAGTTTTCACATGTGACGATGCCTCTAATGAACTAAAATTTAATGCTATATAGTTTTCGCCTTCACCTGATTTGCATTATTTTTCCTGCGAAAGACGAGAAGAGAGAATTTTTTTTTTTTTCATATATAAGTAACGGTTGGATTGATATCTATCTTCTTAATTAGTCAGAGCTCAATTCACAATCATATGTGATCATATATATACTTTTGTATGTGTTGTGGCCCAGGCTGAGGCTGGCAATCTAAAATTCAAAATAATACGAACTGTGATTAAAAATTATTCATGTAGTGAAAAATGTGATGAATAATTTGGGAGGCGACTTTGGAATAATTTAGGAGTCGTGGGCTTACCGGCTCCACACACTTGCAATCTCTGCATCAACTCTAACCCTTGGAGGTCATGTGACGGTGATACCCCACGTCCATGAATGCCGCACAAACTTACCTGCCCAGAAATATTCAGACGCTCCCACAACATCATATCATTTCTGACATACCTCACTAATATAAGTAATTTTAATGAAAAGAAATTCACAATTTCTTTTTTTCTCTTTTTATGCAAGCGAATGTGGACCCCTAGTCCCCTTTCAGGCAAATAGTACTGTACGCCCTGTCCAAGCAAGGCTAACCCCACAACGCCAGCCTTTTCTTTTCTTTTCTTTTCTTTTCTTTTCTTTCTTTGTTTTTTTTTTTTGACAAACTACCCGGCATCAAACGTCATATTGAATTCTGAATAATCTGTGTGTTGAGTCTGAGTCCTAAACAAGAGTAAATGTTTTCACGAATTCAAAGTCTTGTTATTTAAACGGCCATAAACACATGTCCGGAAAGAGGAGAAGAGGCAGATGCATAAGTATTAATTGAGAGGATAGCATAACAATGGAACGCTTATTTGGATAGGGAGGCCTTATAGTTTGCTTGTCTTTTTCTGCAGCTTTTGTCATCCGAGCTGAAGTGGCGTGAGTGATTAACTTGTTTTTAATTTGGGCATGAAAGCCTCGGCCTGCTTGTGCTTGGTCTGGGGCAGTCCCAGGCATCTGCATTGTTTAGGGTCTGAAGCAGCATTGGATTAGTGGATATTTCAGCTCCACGTCTCCAATTATGTGGGCTTTTTAATCAGTGAAAAGGCCATCCTTTGGGAAAAGTGAGCAGAAAATGAAGAGAGTGGGAGTGGTGGGCGGAGGGATAAGCGGTCTGGTCTCAGCATACGAGCTGGCAAGAGCAGGAGTGGAGGTGGTTGTGCATGAGAAACAAGACTACTTGGGAGGCCATGCCAGGACTGTCAATGCCGATGGCTTTCTTCTTGACTTGGGCTTCATGGTCTTCAATCGGGTATGAATTCATCACCTCTTGCATTAATTCATCATAGCTTCCGGCTTTTAACTTTTCACTAGAAAGGGCAACAAGCACAACCATATCTGCTGCAGCAAAAATTTAGCTGATTTCATGCTTCTTCAGTGTTAATCTCTTCTTCTGTTTTACTGCATTGTTTTTTTCTTTTGCTTCTTGATTATTTTCTGGGTAACTCTGATTCCTGCATGCAGTGAGAAACAAGAAAGAAATATATTTTACTTTGGGAGCTATAAATAATAGGTACTCAATAACTAATTAGTATCAACGCTGGTAACTTGAGTCAAAAAAATTTGAATGCTCCGGTTTGGAACAAGTGTGCGTGCCGGCAAAGGTTTACAACAGAACAAAACATTATGAGAGGATTAGAATAAAAATAAAAGTTAAGCTGTTGTTGCACAGACAACCAAGTAGATAGGGCTTTCTTGTTAGGTTGTACTTCTGTATCATATAATATAATATATCCCGTCCATAGCATTAATTTTTTTTTTAATCTAATGTGCTTCACTAACTATAAACTCTTCTAACTGATAAATTTTATGGAGGATAATCTCAAAATTTTATAAGGAATAACTAATTTTAACTACTTTCATTAATTTGTGTAAAATTGTTATTAGTTGTTTATAATAAAAATAGGAGAGAGTAGCATTTTATGAACCACTATTGATAAAAGTAAAACTGGTTAAAATTTTTATTTTTAGACAAGGTTAACCAGTGAATTAACGTTTGTTAGTTTTGTGTTTAGTTAGGGATTTTGTAGGAATATGTTTAGCGTTACATAAACTGAAGTGATTCCATTGGTGTTCATCCGATCCCCTTTATGTCCCATTATGATAATCACACAATTAATAATTAATGCTGAAAGCAAATGGACTCTTTCCTGGCTCCCTGCACCCCTAAAGAATTTATATTTATAATTTTTTTTAAAGTGATGCATGGGATTACTGTGCATACTGCAGATGATTTTTAATCCTGTTTCCTTGTGGAAAAAGGTATTTTCATTTTATTAGAGTAAAATACTTTCACTCTCTTGTATTGTATCTAAATTATAGTGTACGTTACACAATTTAATAAGCAATGCAAAACATTGTTTAAAAGTAAATAAATATTTTGAATTAAAGTGTAGTTTTTAAAATAGTGGCGAAATGTGGTTAATAAGAATTAGAACAGAAGAAAATTGATGTAATTTATTTTATAAATATTTTTTTATATTTCATTGTGCATATCTTACTTTATTATTAATTATCATTTCTTTTTTCCAACTTTTACATCTCATTTTAATTGTTACAAAAAACGAGGTGCACAAGAAAATGAAAAAAAAAAAAGTGTACCAGATCCATTCCCTTGTGCACATGGTAGATATACTCTTTCGGTCCCATATATAAGTCACTTTCTAGAAACATAATCTGGTCCACTTTATAAGTTATTTGTTGATGAGATTGTTTTGTTTCAAATTAAAATTTTTAAATTACCCTTAAAAAGTAAGAGAGAGAAAAACAGAAAAAGTAATATTATATAATTGACTTATTTTTTACTTTTTACTTGAGGGTTATGTTTGAAATTTTACTTATTTTTATTCCTTGTACTTTTATTGTATTGGTATTGATGAGGTTGGTAGAAATGACTTATAAATACGACCGGAGCGAGTACACAGATAATTTTAGTTAACAAAAATAAAATAAAGTCTAATTTGGAGTAGTTGCTTGCACACAAAAGAAAAATGGGGGGGGGGGTTTTCAGTTTTGGTATCAGGTTCAATTTTTATAATTGTTGCATGAGAGTCAAACCACAATATCATCCTATGATATTTCGTGAAACTTAGAATTGATCACGCAAATCACAAAAAGAGTGTGCTTTCAAATGATTCAAGATTGATCTCCATTCTGTCAGCAGATTATTTGTGCGAGAATAGAACAAGAGTAATGTAATGAGCACTAACATTAACAGGAGTGCAATGTTATGTAACGCGTGCGTGTGAATTAATGGAACAGGTGACATATCCAAACATGATGGAGTTATTCGAGAGTTTGGGAGTTGACATGGAACTATCGGACATGTCGTTTGCAGTGAGCCTGGACAAAGGCCGACGTTGCGAGTGGGGCAGTCGAAACGGTCTCTCTAGCTTATTTGCCCAGAAAACAAACATCCTCAACCCTTACTTCTGGCAAATGATTCGTGAAATTGTCAACTTCAAACATGATGTTCTCAGGCTAGCATACTCATTCCCTCCCTCTCTCCATTGTTTCTTCATTCTCAACCCTCCAAGCTTGGACACTGACACATCACAATATTGAATTGACTTGGTTTTCTCTTGCAAATGCAGCTATCTTGATAGGCTTGAGAGTAACCCAGATGTTGATCGCAATGAGACTTTGGGCAACTTTGTCAAGTCCCGGGGTTACTCAGAGTTGTTCCAAAAGGCCTACCTTGTATGATAAGCTACTTCTTGTAACTACTGTTACGCCTCTTCTCTGTAGTTTTCTATGCGTTAAACAAGTCATTACCTTCTCTAGATTCCAATTTGTGGTTCAATTTGGTCCTGTCCTTCCGAAGGAGTCATGAGCTTTTCTGCTTTCTCAGTTCTCTCATTCTGTCGCAACCATCATCTGCTTCAGGTAATCCTACTGCAAATGACCATTTTTCCTTTGTTTATATCTTTAATTCTTGCTCTAGTTTTCAAGTCAAAATTTTTCTAAGGTTACTTCCTGATTCACTTGCTTCTTTCTTTAGCTCTTTGGCCGACCCCAATGGCTTACTGTCAAATGGCGCTCACAGAACTATGTTAGAAAGGTGCAGAATCTATTCATTATGATAGTAAGCCTGTCTTCTTCTTAAATCTAGTGTTCATTCTTATATTGGAAAAATCAGGTCAGAGAAGAGCTTCAGAAAAAAGGTTGCCGTATATTAACTAACTCTGCAGTCATATCAGTTTCAACATCTGAAAAAGGTGAGAAATGTCAATCACTTTTTTACTGCTTTCGTTTTTGCTTTCCATGAAAAATTGAAGAACTTGCATTCATAAGTTTGTAAAGGACCTTATGTAATATATATCAGTTGAAAGGATAAGGCAATGCATGCAATACAAACTTTCGTGAAAGGCTAACCATTCAGATATGGAAGTTCTTGTGACAAATGCTCCCTCTAGTTCTAAATGTGTGAGCTAGTTGAGGGGCATGTTTTGGTCCTAAATGTAAGGCCTCAATCTATTTTGTCCCCCACATGTGTAATTTTCCCCCAAACTATCATTTTTGATTTCACATACTCTCTTCATACCAAATTATAAGACAACCTTGGAAGTATTTTCTTATCCCAAAATATAAGACAATTTAATAAAAATAAGGTTTTGTTAATGATATTTTTTCAACATTACCCTTAAAGTGAAGAGAATTGAAATGATGGTAGTGTAATGATTAAATATGTAGATTTAAAGTTAAATTAAACAAAGGGCATTCTTGATTTTTTTTTTTTTTTGAAAAAAGTAAGTCTGTAAAGTGTCATTATTGAGCTTTATTGGCATGCATAATTTTGTCTCAAATTATAAGATAATTTGAGATGGAGTTAGTATTTTTTATTAAAACCAAAAAATGTGTGCTAGGATCGTTTTCAATGTAAATGATTGAAAGGAGTGGTATTACAGGGAAACCAACACACAATAATGACAAATAACCAATTTTCTTAATTTCTGTGTATTAGTTAACTAGCTCTTACATTTAGAAACACACGAAGTACCATATTTGTACTAAATGATGGTATTGTAAGAAGTTTTAGAGGCATAATTGCAGGATGCGTTGTTCAATGCAAAGATGGTACTCAAGAAATCTATGATGAATGCATTATGGCTGTCCATGCCCCTGATGCTCTGAGAATATTAGGAGACCAAGCAACATTTGATGAAAGGAGAATCCTTGGAGCTTTTCAATATGAGTATAGGTTAATTCATCCTCATAGTCTTTCAATTCATTAATGCATCTCAGATCCTGAACACGCATGTATTGCCATATATCTGTTCCATCCTTTTTGAAATGCCTCCCAGAGTATCTTTTTACAATAATCTTTATAGTAACACCACACTAAAAATGATATGGATATCCCAATACAGAGTCAGAAAGACAGAATTCTCAAACTTCTTTTTTAGCAGCTAGAGCAAGCAGAATATTCAGAAGATAATACTAGTCTAATGTGCACGTAATGGTTGTGTTCAAAATAAGAGGTGCTAAAACTGAGATGTTGCATATATCCAAATAAGTTCAATTGCACAATTATATTTTTACTTTGTATTGGCAGTGATATTTTTCTTCATCGTGATAAAGATTTAATGCCCAAAAACCCAGCAGCATGGAGTGCATGGAATTTTTTGGGAAATACTGACAATAGAGTGTGTGTGACCTACTGGCTCAATATTCTTCAGGTGAGTTGATCTTGTGCTCTCGGGAAAAATAGACAAGTTCAATTGCACAATTATAATTTTGTTCCTTGTAAATGATCATGGCGTACGGTGAAATATTTGAACTTGTAGAACTTAGGAGAAACGAGTCTACCATTCCTTATAACTCTGAACCCAGATCATCCACCAGAACATACATTGCTTAAGTGGTCAACTGGCCATCCAGTCCCTTCCGTCGCTGCATCAAAAGCTTCATCTGAATTAGATCTCATTCAAGGGAAAAGAAGAATCTGGTTCTGTGGGGCCTACCTGGGTAAGTTCCTGCTTATTGTGTTGATGGATTCTTGATTTTTAGTTTATTACTGGTGTTTATGGACTTGTTGTTGAGCACTTATTTTTGGTTTCTTCAACTACAAAATATGTGTGAAAAGGCTGGTTATCGTTTGAATAGTCCATGTGACACATTTTCTTGATCTGTAGTAACTGCATTTATATGTAAAAGCCTTTTTTGAAGGAAGTGAAGTACAAATAGTTTACTAAATTGGTAAAGTGTGCAATTGAACACATTTTTAATGCTCTCAATGAAATTAACTTTACATGCACACACATATGTACTTTATCAACACTGTACAATATGCAGTAATTATATTTGGTTCTGGAATCTGATCTAGTTCAAATTACCATTGACTGAAATGTACATTGTGCTTTTCTTTCAGGTTATGGATTTCATGAGGATGGATTAAAGGTAATGTGAGCTAACTTTGAAAGAAAAAAAGCCATTACATGTTTTTTATTTTTAATTGACTTTTAAGCTAGGATTTAAGACAAACCAAACTCTTTGGTTTCTGAATTGGAGATATAAATAACCATTTACTGCAATACACATATTACTATTGGGCAACGGGCCATCATCTTTGTTGAGTGGAAATAAAAATGACTGAACAGTTGAGTATAACTTTTAGGCTGGCATGACTGCAGCACATGGGGTTCTTGGAAGGTGCTGCACCCTTTTAAGCAACCCAAAACACATGGTACCTTCTTGGACAGAACTGGGTGCTCGACTTCTTGTGACTAGATTCCTGAAATCTTACATCTCTACTGGATGTTTAATGTAGGTTCACTTCCAAGACTGTATATTTTTGAGTAAATTCTCAAGATAAAAATATACCCAATATATATGCATGCTTTTATTGTTTAATACTCTACACAAGTATAGAAAAGGTTTTCAATACCTTTGTGCCTTGAGGTATTACAGGTTACTGGAGGAAGGAGGGACAATGTTCACCTTTGAGGGATATGGAAAAGGGAGCCTATTGAAAAGTGTTATCAGGGTCCACCATCCTCAATTCTATTGGAAGGTATGTACTTTGAACTTACGTATGAACTATCGATGATTGGTCTTACTATAAGTTTTTAATTTATGATGTATTCTTATTCCTGTCGGAGCAAATAAAATCACTAATAGTTGGCCAAAACAAAAAAACTGATATCTTTTATGTGCAATTCAGGTTATGACACAAGCTGATTTAGGCCTTGCAGATGCATATATCAATGGGGACTTTTCATTCGTTGATCAAGATGAAGACCTCTTAAATTTCTTTTTGGTAGGTGAACTGATCTCATGCTAAGAACAAATGTCCATTTTGGTCTTCAATTAAATACTCCCTGATTTTTAATGCAGATTCTCATAGCCAATAGAGATTCAAATACCCATAACTCAAAATCAAAGAACAGGTAAGCTGCATATGGAATATATTGAAGCCTACAATGAAGTATCACTCACATTTTATATCTCATTTTCTGCTTTTGATGACTTTAGGGGTTGGTGGACACCAGTTTTGTTCACATCTTGTGTAGCATCTGCAAAGTTCTTCATCGATCATGTTTCAAGGAAAAATACCCTTACACAGGCTCGCAGGAACATCTCCAGGCATTATGATCTGGTATACAGATCGTAACCTGCAAAATTGCCCGTATTCAGTGATGCACTTGTACCAAGCACAAATTTATATTATTTAATCCATTGAGAAATTTTAGAACATGTAATTAGTTTTGCATGGCCTAAAATATATTAGTGAAAATGTTTTTTACATGAACTATGGTGATAAGATATTAGTTAGACCTTTCCCATCTATTATATATTGTCGACTGATTATGCCTGAAAGCTCACATTTCTTTCTTGGTCTGTTTCTAGAGCAATGAACTCTTCGCTCTTTTTTTGGATGAAACAATGACTTACTCATGTGCTGTCTTTAAGGTTCGGATCTTGACTTTCTGATTCTTTTGTTCAATCTCATATAACTTTTGAAGCAGCGTTATTAATTTTTTGTTTTCCTTTCTTAAATAATTTCATAGAATGAAAATGAAGACCTGAAAGATGCACAGATGAGAAAGATCTCACTTCTGATTGAAAAGGTGAGTTTCTAAGAAGTTATTTCAATATTTTAGTGCTTATCCTTGAGAAGATCTCCATTAATATTTTCCTCTTCAAATAAATAAAAAGGCAAGAATAGAAAAGAAGCATGACATTCTTGAGATAGGATGTGGATGGGGGAGCTTAGCCATTGAAGTTGTCAAACAAACTGGTTGCAAATACACTGGCATAACATTGTCCAAGGAACAACTGAAATTTGCAGAAAAGAGAGTTAGAGATGCTGGGCTTCAGGTATTGAACTACTGCTTAACTTGGTCCTCATCTACTGAGATCCTCATTATAGTTATGGATGTTACAGAAAAAGCCTCAATGTTTCATCTCTTTGCTACACTGCGCTTATGACATTTAAGTTCTTCTCTTTGTGCCAGAGAGAAATTAGCTGTATCCAATGTGCTTATGGAATTAGAAAATCTTTAGCAACTTTGTATTCAATTTTAGTTATTCATGCTTTCAGGATCATATAAAATTTCTTCTCCGTGATTATCGCCAATTACCCAAGACATACAAATATGATAGGATTATATCTTGGTGAGTTATTTTCTTTGGTTTTCAATAGAATCATATCCAATATGACAATACTTTCAACATTTTTCTTGATCAGTATTGGCATATTTCAGCGAGATGATAGAAGCCGTTGGTCATGAATATATGGAAGAGTTCTTTGGTTGCTGTGAATCAGTATTGGCTAATGATGGACTTTTTGTTCTGCAGGTAATAACATAGGATATGAAATATTTGTGTCCCTTCAATCTTTTCTTTTTGATAGTGTAATGTTCGATCGTAAAGCCAAAATATGCTGATTTTTCCCCAGTTAACCGTTAAAACTAGAATCATTGTAGCACTCAAATTGCTGCTAATCGTTGAGGATGTTTATCTTTTTCCTCAGTTCATATCAATACCGGATGAGCGTTATGATGAGTACAGATGCAGTTCAGATTTTATAAAGGAGTACATTTTTCCAGGTGGTTGCTTACCCTCTCTAAGTCGAATAACATCAGCTATGGCAGCTGCATCTAGATTCAGGTATGTGAGTTACATGTTTTGTTGCTGCATTCTAAAGTAGAGAATTCCTTTCATTCTTTTTATACTAAAACAAATGTTCTCAAATGTAGTGTGGAGCACATAGAAAATATAGGAATTCATTACTACCATACGCTTAGGTGGTGGAGGAAGAACTTCATGGAAAGACAGAAGTATGCCCTTAATTCATCAACTAGTTCTCTATACTAAACTACAGACTAGACTTACACTAACTCTGGGACATTTCACCTCTTGATGATGGTAGTGAAATCTTGGGTCTTGGATTTAATGAGAAGTTCATTCGGACATGGGAATACTACTTTGATTACTGTGCAGCAGGTTTTAAGTCCCATACACTTGGGAATTATCAGGTATACCTAAAGAGTTACTGTATGAGTTTGGAGCAATTAATGTGATGCTTTAAAATCACTTGGCATGATCTAAGATAGTCATGTGTATAAATTGTTTGTCCATTTTTTCTGGCGAAGATTTTGTATTAGCAGAACCCAGGATAGTTTTAGGATCTTGATCATTACAGCCTCATTTGTCACCACATTTTCTTCAAGGTTGTATTGAAATGCATTACATGCCTATCTCAGAATGGATCGTCTGAGTTGTTAATATCCCTTCAAATCTCTATGAATTAACTTTCTGTGAAGGTCCTTTCATCTTATGTGCAACACAAAAGGCTTCATCTGATAACAGTCGGCATTACCATTTGACGAATGGAGGGCTTGGGCTTATGTTTTCGGCATTTCATGAGCTTTTCTGTTGCCTCTGTTCTAGTCTGTATTTCTGTCGGTAGCCAGGCTTCAAACTGAACCTGAACCCCGTTTTGTTAATTAGTCGATTGATGCCATTATCGTTCATTATTCAATCCAGAAATAGCGGATTGTTAGGTTTAAACTAATGCCTAATGCTTGGTGTAGGTGGTTTTTTCACGCCCTGGGAACACTACTGCGTTCACAGATCCGTACAGAAGTTGGCCCTCCTGGTGACTTGATTCTCAGAGAAGCAAAGGCTTCGCGTTCAAGCAAAACTGAAAATAGCTTATTCTTTTGCCATCTTTTATCTTCCATGCCTTCAATGTTTGATAGAATCTCCACTTATTACAAGCAGAGAGTGAATTGTTCTTAGTCTTGCTCTGAACCAGTCAAACTCACTACTAGGCTTGTATTTTGTGCGAGCATTATTTTCAATAGCTTTAATTTCTTTATCATGCACTAGCACGATTAGGAGATACTTGTTCATCTACTAAAGAGTTCCAATCTCGATCATATTTTCCTAAATATAATTTTAAGAGAACAGTCTATATATAATTAAATATTATTTGCAAATTATAAAAATCTAAAATAAATTGATAAATTAAAAAATATAAAATACTTAATTTTTTTAATAAATTGACAATATTACATGACCAACTGTGTCCCCTATGATTTGATCTCTTCCATGACTGTAGTTAATTAATACATATTTATATATTTGTGTAATTTTTTAGGCATAAGGATAACAATTTGGGCAAATATACAAGAGCCAAAGACGGCTTAACTTGAAAAGCCATTCAAAGCTGCTATGAAATAAAAACCATGCCTCCTTCAAGGCTCAATTACATTAACCTTCCATGGTCCGAGTTCATCTCATCACATAATCAATTGTTTACTTCGATCGTGTGAAGTTTAAAAACTGAAATAGGTAATGAAGGACGCGCAGAATATATCAAAGGAAACGCCCGAGAAGAACAATTAGACGTCAGGGTTCCCACTTCCCTGACACAAACATATAATCTTTCCTCTTAGCCTTCTCAAATTTAACAATTCCAACTGCTCATTCCTGAATATGCAGACAGTCAGATATCCACTGAAATATCCGCGACAGGCTTCTCTAAATAAATGACCGGAGTACTAAATCATACAACCATGATAAGATATGCAATCAGAAAATAACGGGTTAATTGGTCGTCTAATTGATAATCTAACAACAAACAATGTCAACTTGAAATAATGCACTGTTCATAAATCATGAGCAGTGTAACTCAACTCCTTAAATTCCACAAAACGCATGGTAAATTGTGTCTAATTCTAGAACCATATTACGAAGTGATGCATGAGAAAGACTGCAATCATGACCTCCCACACCAACCTGTACCAAGGAAGAATATAATGCCTGAAGCGCCAATGGAAATTTACCTCGTGAGAAGTGAAGCGAAAGGCAAAAGGCAAAGGGCAAGGGACACAGTTTTAATATATCTACTATCAGGTTCTTTAATAAAAATGACCTGTGCAACAAATTTTTGGAAAACCCAATCACGGGAAGCTGCACATTCATCGGGGTTGGGGACTCTAATGTGTCCTCCTCTAATATCCATTGTAATGCCCTAAGTTTTCAATTTTGTCTTTTATTTTTTCTTTGGATCATTGGATTTTACTTAAAATAAAAGACATTTGGATATTTTAAAGTCCCAAAATGGTGAAGATTTGTATTTTCTACAATTTTTTTTTTAAAATATTAGAATTATACCCTTTTATTTTTGAAAAATCATAAAAAATTATAAATATTCATCATTTTGGAACTTCAAGATATCCAAATGTCTCTTATTTTAAGTAAAATTCAATGATCCAAAGAAAAATAAAAAACAAAATTAGGAACTTGGAGCATTACAGTGAGCATTAGAGAAGAACACGTTAGAGGCGCCCAGCCCCACATTCATCACACTTTCATTACTGAACCTGACACCAAAAATAGAAACTATGAGCAAGAAGACAGCCATAAATCGAAGGAATGAGGTAATCCCCCACTCACGAAATCTGTCTCAATCACAAGTCATTATCACAGGCAAACATCAAAACAGAATTTACATCACAACAAATTAGTTTTTTAGTAATTCACTTCCATTAGAAACTTGGCCAACGCTAATATGAATATGAAGTCTCTAAAGTCCTCTAGCACAAGATACCATAAGTTAACAAGTGGATATCAATTGGCTGGCCAACTAATATTCAGGACAGAACTTTGAAACAAGTCATGGCTAACTGCGTTAGTCAACGTACCGCAAACCATCCACCTTACTTTCTGTCAACCACCACAAACCAGACTGTAGGTTAAGAATTTTATCATATACTTGAACAAGCCTGGAATCTCGAAGTGTGAAGCTGCTTTGTCCCAGAAAAACACAACTTGACTGAACAAAGTTCATAGCATGCTGATCAACCCCCTGACCAAGCCCATTATGAAGTTCCTGTTCAGCCATAAGTGGACACTTGGCTCCACTTCAGCACTTGTGCACCTCTCCTCCTGTACAACACAAGTGCAAATACAGGGGGAAATGATTATGCCATCCTCAAAGTTTCAACTACCACTACCATTATCGCTACCCATTACGAAGTGATCAACCCAAGTGTCCACTGCTATCAGTAAATACCTTGACTAATCTCCTTATTTCTACTTGTCAAAACAATTGAAGCATGAGTGTCTACACAAGAATTTCCTACCTCCTGACTGAAGCCAGTAAGGGGTACCCTAAGTAGAATAGAACCAAAACATGAAAACATGATGACAACAGAGATAATTATGTGCATCAAATCAATAAATAAAGTGGTAATATTGTCATAGTAAGAGACTAGTCATTGTCATCACCCAATATATACCTCGACTACATCTCCTTCTTTCCACTTCTAATTATGATTTATAATTATAATTAGTCATAAGGGGAGACATAAAAAGAATATGAACAGAATGAAAGCACAAGAAGATAACAAAATATAGATAACAACTGCATAGAACCAAAATATAAAGTGCAATAAGCTGCTACAGGTCAAAAGCTACAGTAACTGAATTCCCAATCAGCTAAAAGAAAATCATAGGCACGCAATATTTAAAGCTACACGCATTAGCAAATATCAAATAGTAAAGAGCATCTAGTATCTCTTGAAAAATACTACTTATTATAGACTAGGGAAACAGAACTGCAAGCTACTGGGATTCAAGCAACCCAACCAGTCCCAAAGTGTATTGACATTGAGCTTGGGCTACTCAATTGCTGCTGCGCAGAAGAATTCATGACGATCTCATAATTCAAGAGTGGAGAGGGGTCCAAGAGATGAAATTGATGATCCAGTTGAAAATTTATCTGTCAAAATTACTGCTGTTGGGCCTGCCGTGATTGTGCACTGCCATAGCTGCTGCCATAACCAACTTGCCCACCATGGGGACCATTTACCTGAGGAGTCCCATAATTTCCAGATGGCTGCGCAGGTTCAGATCTCCATGCAGCATTTCCATATCCTGAACTTCCATTTGCATCACCATAGCCACTTCCATTGTAGTTGCCACCACTTCCTTGTGGTTCATTTCCTCCTGGACCACTGGCATAGCTATTTGGGGCACTCCCAGAACGCCCACCAACAGCACCATATACGCCAGGGTTCCCATAAGAACTATCACTTCCACCATACCCACCATAACCACCATAACCATACCCTTGATTCCCATAACCAGCAGCCCCACTGGGTGATTGACTTGCAGGGGCTGCACCAGGACCGCCACCACCAGATCCAGCACCACCACCTGGAGCACCCCAAGCAGCAGCATTCCCATAGCCCATAGAACCATAACCAGAGGGAGCTTGAGCAGGCCATGAACTCCTTGGGGCACCGGGTGGACCACCAGCATAAGCAGCGTTAGGGATGTTGGGATTCCCATAAGTTGCACCAGCAGGTCCCCCATACCCAGTGCTTGCACCACCATAACTTCCATATCCGCCATAACCAATGCCATTATTAGCAGGACCATAACTGTACCCAGGAGCACTATATCCTGAAGACCCATAAGGTGGAAATCCACCTCCAGTGCTTGGAGGCTGCACATACCTACCAGAATCCATCCGACCATCATATGCATTTTGGTTGCCACCAGATGCCCCATACCCCTGATAGCCGCCGCCACCTCCTCCTACACCACCCATAGTACGGCCACTAGCACCAGGATTAGCATCCTTTGGAAGTGCACGCTTCACTTCTACTTGCTTACCATTTAAATCATGAAATGGTTTATGCAAAACCCTGTCAACTGCATCTTCAGAGTCAAATGAAATAAACCCAAATCCACGTGGCCGTCCAGTATTCTGGTCATACATGACCACTACATCAGTAACATGACCATAACCCTCAAAATACTGACGGAACTTTTCTTCAGTCAATGTAGGAGGCAACCCTCCAACAAATATTTTTTTGGTCCTGATATTTCCACCATTTCCTGAATTTCTATAAGAGTTGGGATTTCCTGCCCTGGAAGTGGCAGAAATTTGTTGATCCTCTCTGGAGAAGGCCTTCTTAGCATCCACCTGGAAATTAAAGAAGTTGGTAATAAGACATATAAATAATGACAAGAAAAATGTTTAACATCCAAGAGTTCAATAGAAAAATGAACAGTCTTTTAAAAGATATTAGAGTTAAGAAGCCAGAATGATGCAAAAAAAGGATATCGATTAGATCATCTACTATGAAAAAGAACCATTTAACATCCAATGAAATAACCAAATAAACTATGGTTTACATATCCAATAACTAAACACACTTAAACCAGGGGGAACATACAGATGTACTTAATTCTAGTCATATTCAACTCAGCACCAGTGGTTGATTAACTACTGTCTACTAGCTAAGCCAACAGGTCTAAAAAAAAAAAGACTCGGTGCTTGTTATTTGTGTACTGCACAGCACCCCCCACAACCTCCGAGCCTTTACTCAGGCCCATTTTATCAAGATAGTCAGCCATCAACAAAGAAGATTAGACCAATGATTATTACCAGTAAAGAGGTGACCCGTTTGAAATAACATCCAGGAAAAAGAAATTGTCAAGAGCGCATATAAACACATGGATTAAAATATACCATGAAAATCATTAGATTTGAAGACGAAGTTATCACTTAACAGACAAAAATAAAGATAAAATGCCGTCGACAAACAACAGAAATTTGGCACCAGCAGCAACAAATAGCACGACATGAGTTCCCGAGTAACGAAAAGCAAATTTAAAACAAAGAAAATGACCATCGCAAAAGAAACCAAACCCCAATAAAAGCCCCAATTTAGAGAAATTTAACAGTGATTTCAGCCATCCAAAGGGTTAGAGGAATACGAGATGAAACATAATTTCATATAGTGCACAAAGAGAGAATGGAGGGTTAATCCTTTCTCTCACCGTTCTGCCATCGATTTTGTGCTCTTCCTCGAGAACCCTATCGAGAATCGAAGGATCTGCGAACACAACAAACCCAAAGCCTCTGGGCTTCCCAGTGTTCTTCTCTCTCATAACGGAAGTGTGCAAGACATCACCGTAGTTGCTGAAATGATCTTTCAGCTTGTCCTCCGTCGTATCCCACGATATCCCACCAATAAAAAGCTTCCCTTGATCCGAATCCATTTCTCTCTCGCTCACCCTCCGGGTACTCTTCACTCTCTTTCTCCCTGCAAGCTAGTTTCTGAAGAAATTGATCGCAGGAATTTTAAGAAAAGTTGGGTTTTGGGATTGGGGAAGTAGAGGGCGGAAAGCAAGAGAGGGTTTGTGTGGCCGACGCGGTAAGAGAGTGAGCGAGGGAGGGCAAGTGAGAGATTCGATGGTCATCAAGTGCGAGAGGGGGTAAATGTTGTGTGCTTTGACAGCTCCAAGTATTCAATTTTGACGGATGAGATCCGTTAGCCCTCACCTGAGATGGTGGAAAATAAACGGATCCGATTTGGTGTGGCCTTGTTTCAGCTCTTCGCTACTCATTGGTCAAATAAATTAATATTATTTATGAGACAAAATTACAGTCCAACTAAAATTACCTCCGCCTCTGTTTCATTGTATTTATAGCTTTAGAATTTTTTTTCATTGTAGGTTTTAGATTTTAAAGCAGTACTTGACAACAATTTTCTTATTTATCTTTAGAAAAAAATTACTACTTATTATTAATGCTTTTAGAGACAAATTAAACGATGACATGTTTAGTAAAATATATCAAGTTTTTACAAATTTATTTTATTTTTTAATGTGAAATAATTTTATCTTTAAAAAAAAATCACTACTTATTATTAACGCTCTTAGAGACAAATTAAACGAGGACATGTTTAGTAAAACATATCAAGTTTTTACAAATTTATTTTATTTTTTAATGTGAAATAAATTTCAAAAAAAATTCTAATGATAAGTCATGTCATTAAATTATTAATAAAAACTTTAGGTAATAATTTTTTATTTTAAATTTATCCTTATGTATCCATTAAATATACTTAGAGACTTGATTGCTGATAAAGCACAATAATATCATACAATTTATATAATTAATCACATCTAACAAAGTAAGGCTTGTTGTTATTATTTATTTATTGTTGTATGTCCATTAAATATTAATAAGAAAAAGTATTTTATTAAAGTATGTATATTTAATAGAAAAAAAATTTAAAATTTGTTAAATTATTAGAAAGAGTTAATGAGTTATTAGATTTTTTTTAATTTTAATAAAACTTGTTGAGTAGTTATTAATAAGATGAGATTGAAGAAAATGGACGAATCTTTAGTAGACGTTATTATGAAAAGCAACGCCCCTTGATGGAAACAGGTCTTACTCGAAAAATATTATAAAAAAGAAAAAAGAAAAAACCGAGCCAGCGCCTGTTCAATGACATCCTTGCAAGGATGTTGAGACACATCACACCTAGTGACTAAATTAAAACCTTCCAAGCAATTAGTGAATAGGACATCAAGGTGCCCAGAAAGGCAGAGATAGCAAGCCAAATGTTGAATTAAGGGGAAATTGCTAAAAAGGACCACACATTGAAGTTATTTGAATCAAAAGACCACAGTTTTTCAAGTGAACTAAAGTCCTCGCTCTTCAAGTAATTTCTCATTCAATCTCAAGTTCACTTGAAAAAAACCTTAATCACTTTGCCCAGACAATTTTATTTTATCAGTTGGTCCTTCATAGCAATTTTTCTTTAAATAAATTAATCTCTGACATTTGCATGCGAGAGGAAACTTCCTTTTGGGCAGGTCTTATCAAAGTACACACGTGGCATGCAACATTTTGGGATACTTGGTTGTTTCCTTGTCACAAAACTAACTAGCAAAGTCATATAGTCCCCACAACGCAATTGTTATAAGTTCCTCTAAGGTTATAAGTCCTTTACATCCTCAATCACCTTCTCAGTGTGCGTATTCAAGTTACTTGGATTGACAAGTAATTTTTGCCATGTGCACTTATCCTTGAGCCAATATTTGAATTTAGCCAATAACCTATATATGTACTAATGGCTTGCAAATGCAAACCATGGTCTACAGGAAGTAAGTGATTAATTTTTTTTTACGCTGACTAATTTCCTGTCAATTTCGTAATCCTTTCGTCGAATTACTAATGTCTTGATTAATTATTCTTCTCTTGTTAGCTCCAAATATTAGCCGATCATTTAATAGGTATGTAAAAGGAAACGAGACCCAAAAAAAAAATCATTTGATAAAATAGTGGATGTTTTTTAAAAAAAGAAAACATAGTATCCACGACATTTAACACACACACATAGATATTGTAGACATTTAGTATGATTTTGTATTGACACATGAGCTTTATATGGGCTAGATGTACAATAGGGATCGTTACAGACGGTGGGCGAAGGCGAGAAAAATAGAGAGTAAAAAAGGAGAGGAGAGGAGTGGAGCCGCCGCAATTTGCAGCTGCAGATCTGAGACGAAAGCAGCTTGTCTCTACTCTTTTGTCCCCACTCTCACTCCTTCGTCTTCCTCTTCTCATTTTATTATTACATTCTCATGCGCCCACCGTATCACCCCAAAATCATTAATTGCCCAACGTTAACATTTTCGAACCTCTTTGGAGCCAAACGGCTTTCAAGTTTTAAACATCTCTCTCCCCCCGGATGGCCTGTGCTCGGGCCTGGGTCCGTTCAGATTCGGGTTCTCTCTTCTTATAAACAGCCTACAACGTCCTTCGCCCCCCTCCTCCACTTCCGTTAGACATGGGTTGTTTTCTCGCTTGCTTTGGCCTCTCCAAGAAGAGAAAGCGTCGAAAGACTCTCTACAAGGTTCTTGCTGCGCCTGGTCACCAGGTAACCCATTTTCTTTCATGTTATGGTCTTTCTCATTCCTGCTCTCATCTTTCTTTCTTTTATTATCCGTGTTTCCGATTTAGAACCATTTTCTCATTTCAGTTTGTTAATTCATCTTTTAAAAAGTAAGAACCATCTGGATTTTCTATTTTTCTTCATTTTGCAGAACTATGTAGCTCTGGACTCCTCTGTCATTGTAAATCTTGCGACCCCAGACAACTCTATCATCCCCTATTCTAATTTCAGGTCAGCATTCCCTCTCTCTTTCTTTCCCTTTTCTTCTCTCTGTGCGTGATAGTTTATTTATCTTGTTCTTGTTTTTGTTAGGGATGAATGTAAGGAGCAGGCCCGACCCAAGAGCAGGAAGAAAGTTAGTTTTAATTTGAATGTACAGATATATGAACCAAACCCCTATCAAATTTTGGAGAGTGATGAGGAAGAAGAAAATAAAAAGGATAATGGAGAAACGGAGAAAAGTAGCTCATCTTCTTCCATCTTGGGAGAAAACTCAGCAGCCTTGAATTACCCATCAAATTACAGATATTACAACTGCTTGGACAGCTGCAATGAGGATGATGAAATAGAAAATGAGGCATCTGATATTGATGCATATGATGACGAGGATGATGAGTTTGATGACGAAGATGGTTGGGATTGTGGCAACAGCAGCGGCAGTGAAGATGAAGATCGGTCGAAAGTTTACAAAACAAGCGCAGGAGAGAAACAATGCTCTGAGCCAATCTATTCTTTGGAAGAAGACAGGGAAAAGAGTCACATGCATTCTGTACTCAGACCTGTGGAGAACATTACTCAGTGGAAAGCAATCAAAGCACAGGTTGCATCAAACAAGCACAGGAGGAAGGAGAATGTTCCACTTGAACAAAAGACAAGCATCACACTACTTTCAGAACCAGGTTTCAATCTTCTAGAGTCAAATGTTTCCAAGCCTCTATTGACAGAAATTGCAGTTGATGCTAGTCTTTCAAATTGGTTAATTCCACCTTGTGTGTCTAAGACCACAATCCATTGTCAATGAGGGCCATGGCATCAGGATGAAAGATTTAGGATCTATTATTTCCATGGACTTTGACTTGACCGACCAATTTTTTAATTGGTGACCTTGAGGGATCTCATAGCACATGACAACAAAATTACTCCTCTTACTTGTGAAGACGCAAATACTAAAGGATCCTACAAATTTTGATTCTTGTACTGCTTACTATCTGGCTTGTCAGTCTGAGCTAGTTGGGGTGATTTTCATTTTATTTGTGTGTCTGATTCTTTAACTCTGCTTTGCTTTGTGAATGATAATGTTGTGATCATTAGATGGCCATATGTGTCTATTCATCTCTCTGTGTTTGTTTGTACGAGACATCGATCAAATGCAGCAATTCAATTACATAAGTTCTAAAATATTACATTCTGGACCTTCAGTAATTAGATATGGAATTTATCTTCTGCACAATTGCCTGCAGGCGTGATCTGTGTACAAATGAACTACAACACGATACATTTAAATTTGATTCTAAAAAGCAATACCAAGCAGAACATTGCTTCCCCCGATGATGTTTCCCGCTGAATCAAGCGTCAACTTATTTTCTAGCGAAAACTTAAATCCTAAGTTGCTTCCATCACAAAAAAAGACGCTCATGGAGGCCCGTTAGTTGATCAAAGGGGACCTATTGTAAATTATATGTTAATAAGTGGTCAAGTAAGACGCTCATGAAGATTTGTTTCACGTATTGACAAAAAATGATAAAAGCAAGCAAGAGGAATAATTACAAGGCAGTTGCTCTTTGACTAAATATATAATAATTTACACAAATTAGTGCACAACTCTTGCAGAATCACTATAAATAACTAAGCATGAAAGAGCTCATTTATTTTACGTGCATTTAAGCCGCATCACTGTCATCAATCATCATTGTCCAAAACCATCTTGCAGCAATTTATGCGTGTACTTTGATCTGCATAAGGAACTCACTCAATCTTCAACCTCGGAAATCATCTCAAACCCAAGTGAGATGAACTGGAACCAAATACTGATAATGAGAAGCCTCCAATCTTGGTTACTGGGCTGATGGTCGTAACGTATATTTCAACAACATGGGTGGCAAGAATGATTTCTTGATTGTCCAGCAGAATGTTCGAGACAGTTTATCTTGAGGATCTCTACATTATCATACAAATACAAGAATCTGAATCCTCATCCTCTGAGCCACTATCATCACTGCAGACACAATTGGGAGACCAGATATAATATAGATTTGAATATATCACAGATTAGGTCTATTACTCTATCATACTCAATTTTGCTTAGTACATTGACTTTGTATTATCAAATAATTTAAAGCTGCATCCCAGGTAAGCAAGAAAATTTCATATGCCACAATCCCCCCCTCCTCTGGAAAAAAGCTATTTAAGCAAAGGTTACAGTATATATAAGTTAGAACAACAAGCTTCAACGCGTTTAATTCCACCACCATACCTAAGAGCAGCTCCCTAATTTTGAAACATGCCTAAAATCCTTTGTCTGAACTCTAAACTGTACAAGGTCCATATAAAGTGAGTCCACGGTTTATACCAAAAGTTCTCAATTGGAATGAAGGTAGAACATGACTTCTAAGTTGTATCATCCCTTGTTATGAAACAAACAGCAATGGGTTCTCTACAATTACTAGCACTTTCTCCTCTAGTTTCTACAGAATGTAAGTTTCTCGATGCTGACAGCCGCAACTTGTTACCACATTTTCATAAATAAGCAATTAAAATTCACCAAAACATGGCATTAAAGTGCTTTTTATCAAAATGCCATCTTCCATGCCTCATGAAGCAGATAAATCAACCCTAAATCCTTTCTAATTCTAGGCTTTGGTTATACTTTGAAACCCAATTAGCACATCAAGCTTTTCTACCTTATCATCTCTTTCTAGAGTGGGCGGCAAGGATATAAATATTAAACAGAATTAACTCTTGTGAGCCCATATTCCAGCTTACTTCAGCACATTCCCATGTGCTCTTCTATACCAAGACATGAAATCTACAATTTTGTTTTCTTTTAACATAATTTCTTCTCTCATTCTTTGATGCTAGGGATTAAGTGAGAGGATTTCCCTCAATCATACATTCCTAAAAATAAAGGAAATTAAGAACAATATATAATTCAGTCATTCATCATGGCGTTGGACACTTGAACGAGGATACACTGAACACATGAGGCTTCTTCTTATAAAAGCACACATAAAAGATGCCTCAACTAACTAATGAACCTTTAGGTAGTTGCTTTAGAAAAGTGGCTCTACTCATGAACATCATATTTGAGAGCTAAAGCAAAAGAACAGGAGCTTAAAGAGGTATCTAAAAATCTCCTGTGCTAAGAACTAAATTATGCAGGCATCAAGCCCAAGCATCATCTTACAAGTATTTTACAGGTCCGCATAAAGTCTGAATCAATTCAACTTAAATATTTTTAACCTTGTCGAGATCACAGAAGCAAATGAGAAGCGTATACAGTTTCTTTTGGCGCACTCATCACATAAACCCCAAAAGAGAGTGGCACTTAACAAAGGACAAGGTATCCTCCATTTTTTCTTGAGAGAGAGAGAGAGAGAGAGAGAGCATTGAAACACAAGTGATGAAGCACTGACACCGTTCTGCAGCCCCTTTGGACACTGGAAAGAGATTAACCGCCAAAAAAGACACTTTTTTTTTTTAACATGATCAGAAGTACAATTCAAACATAGCACAGCGATGCTGTGCTTATGATATGAATATGAACCATGCTAAGCTGCTAACCAAAGCAAACTTGGTGGTAAAAAGTGGGAGGACTTTAAGTTGGCTTGATCACAATATTTCTTTTTTGAATGCAAGTTATGACATGACATAAACGGCAACTTGTAAGAGACAAGCTCCTAGTTCTCAAGAGACCTGAACAAAAGGTCAGCCGTCAGTTAAGCTGAGTTAGATATCAGAGAAAAAGCAAAAAACGTTAATAGTCTGCTCGTAAATAAATAGCCTAAAGATAAAAGAGGAGTGAGGGGGAAAAAAAGCAAGCTGGTTCAAAGCAACGAATCACGGAAATTGTCAGCGGTGGCAGGAAAGGCCAAAAGCCAAAAGAAGAACAGAAGGGCAACAGAAGAAAAGGATGACGAAATTTTTGCTGAGCCAAAAAGAAAACATTCGAGTAAATTCAGTGGATACAGAACAAAAAGCCACCGTCACTCATCTTGCAGAAAATAGACAGTACAGAATTAAGCGACCATCCCAAATCAGTTTCCTATTTCTAGCCCAACATGCGGCTTCAGACCCCAACACAGGCTAACAAGAGTTAGCAATGTATCATACTCTTGAAACTAAATTATGTTAATCCAAATCACTAATGATCATGACCATGAAAATGGTAAACAAAAAACTCTCCACACTTAATCAACTTTTTGCAGGAAAAAATGTTCATTTGGTGCAAAAGTTATCAAAATCATCCTACCATCGTAAAGAACCGATAAACATAAGTAGATTAACAGATATGTTACTGCTCCTGAATAGTTACAATTGAAGACATCAAAATAGGAGGACAAGGGGGAAAAGGCCAAAGGAACAATTGTTATGCTATAACCTAATTTATGGGTGTATTAATGAGGAAATTTACCTGGGTATAAATTCCAAAACCTCAACAAGTTTGTTTCCATTCCTGTCGTTCCACTGCACTTTCCGTCGGGTTTTATCCGACTTCCTTGAAAGCCCTCCTCTACGTGGCGGCAACAATGAATGCGAATCGCTGTCGTCTTCTCCATTAGTTCGATCCTCAACCTTTTCAGCATCCACAGAAGCCACAGGCTTATTCACGCAGCCGTTAGGATCCTCGGCATCCGTATCCATCAACAGTTATACTCTTCCAGATAAGTCCACCGCGATACAGGCGGACCCAATCAGCAAATCCTGGGCTTTGAAAGATCCTAATTGCCTAGAAATCACGTACTCGATCCCGAATCACTAGAAACTCAGAGTCTGGGAGCGTTTAAGGCATCATTTAGCAGGGGTCAACGCTTTCTCCATGATTTAGTTATGTGTTGAAGCAGAGAAGAACTGAGAGAAAACAATCAAGAGGGAAAAAGAGAAGAAAAATCCCAGACTACGGCTGGGCTTCAGCAGCTCTGAGAGAAAATCTTAGTGTCAAGAGGAAGTGGAAGTTCATTATTTTCGGAGAAAAAGACGGGAAAATCTTTTCTCGTCGCAAAGCAACAGCCCACCAGAACCGAAATTGAACCATGAACAGCTAATAAAGAAGCGAAAGGAACAGAACCGATCGCCCAGTTGGTTTTATTTAAAAAAAAAAGATTATAAAAAAGAAAAAAAAAATTAGGCTCGCAAAATGGTTGCCGAATAAGAGCATAATTTAAAGCTCCAAGAATTTATTATTAAATTAATGGCCCGAACTTATTCCAATCGGGCGGTAGAAATTCAAAGGGAAGATAAGGTGATCTTGAAATCGGAATTGTGGGCTTGTGGCACGTTCGTTAATCTCGTTAAGCCGTGACAGGTTGTCATGTGAGATATTGACACGTCACATACGCCGGAATATGTTTCCCCATTGTAACTAAATAAAATTGACAAGATCGGCAATTGGGATCACGAGAAAGTGTAGATAAAATGATATAATTAAAATGCGTACTAGGAGATGAATATAATACAAGTGTATCCAAGCATATTGAGTACTAATATAGTAAGGTACTAAACAGAAGTATAAATTAAGTAACGCGTTTGTTAATTCATATAATAATTAATAATTAATAGTTTGATGATTTTGGTTCGGGGGCAACAATATAGAGGTAGGGTCAGGTAGTTTTTGGAGTATTCCGAAAGCAAAATTTGCAGAATGTAAATGGCGATTCATTACGGTGGCCATGGAAGCAATCATGGAGGAGAGAAACCGATACTTGCAGCCACATCCCAAACTTTTAATGTTAATTAAAGATTGTGGCCCTTTAGTGATTCAATTGACAAAAAAATATCCATGTTTAGTGCTTACATGCAAGTTGAAAATTCAAAATTTTGGAAGTCTCTATTAGATCCATTTTTAACAATTTTTTTCCATTTATTATTTTTTCAACATTTTCAACTTAGTTTCCACAAATATTAAAATTGAAAAATAAATGTAAAAAATAGAATACTTTAGGAAAGAAAAATTGCAAACTGCATTTAAAAATAATTAGAATCTAAAAAAACAAGTTTTTGATTGTTTTGACAAGTTACTTTATACCACTTATAAAAATAATCTGACATTATAGATTAAGATAAGAGAGAATATAAGGGAGATATAAAAATACAGTATATCATAAAATTTTAAAATAATTAAATAATACATTATTGTCTTAAAAAAATATCTACAAAAGTCCAAAGACATTGTAAAACCTACAAATAAAAAAAATAATATTTTTTTATAAAGTCTCTACATGGTAAATCACTTTTTTAATAAAATATTTAGAATATTTAAGGATTAATTATTTCTAATTTAAAATAAACAAGCCCATTATATAATGCTTTGCAATACCAGGGAAAATTTTGCATGGGCGCCTTACGCCGTACATCTTCATATATACTATTTGGGTCACCGGCCTATCAATCAAAAATGAAAATTCCTTAATTGTATTATTCTATCACTAATCACGATTTAATTTGTGGCCGAATTCAAATTTTTAGTCATCAAACATTCGTGCACTCGATCTAAATTACACTTCCCTTACCTTACCTGTGACCCACTCTTTTTCCAATTTTGTTAGCAACATTAATTAATCGCAGCCAAAAGTGCCAGAAACTACAAAGATTAATGATCATATATGAGAATAACATTTTCTCAATGATATTTTAAAACTGTTTGAGATTTGTCAAGTTAATACCCCAGTCCAATAACCCAAGCCAAAAGGGGAAAATTTCTTTTTTCTTAATAAGGATGTAACAGGGATTGACTAAATAATTTTTATCGCTGGGAAAAATTAAATATTTTTATGAAATATTATAATATTTATTGATTATTATGCTGGTGGAGGAAAAATAAGTAAATAAATATTGACCTTTCCCGAAAACAAAAGAGGTTGTCGCATTTGAGGGAATCCACAGAGTCCGGAACCCAAACCGCTGAACGTGGACGCCAATGCTTCATGGCAGAAAAGATTCGGCGCACCATAATACGATTATATTCTCAGTTCACTTCTTGCCATTATTCCATGTCTTTACTCTATAAAGTTACGTCACTAATTTTTATTTTTAGGTTAAAACTAATCTGAGTCACAAAAATATGAAAAAATTAAACTCCATGTTTATGGTTGGTAGAATTTTTATGTTAAGGCGTCATTTGATTTATCTACTTTTAATATCTCAAAAGTGCTTTTCTATTTTTAAATTATAAAAAGTTGTTTGGAATCATTTTGTTAGATCATGTGTGCTTTTAAAAAGGACTTTCTAATTGGATTCAAACATAAAAATTGAAAGCTGCATTTTGTAGCTTTTAAAAAATAGTGTTATTTGAACATATAACCCCAAATTTGTATTTAAAAAATAGTTAATTCATCAAAAATATAATTATCATTTCAATAATAATAATAATAATAATTAGATATCAAGTTTTTAACATTATAAATTATAAATTAAATAATTAATCATGCTAATTTTTAGTATTAATGTATAACAAAAATTACAGGTCTTTATCACATTTTTTAAGATTACAAATTACAAAAGTACAAAAAAGTAAAGATTCAGTTTTTAGCATTGTAGATTAAATTTTATGTTATTTAAAATATTTATTATATTATTGAAATATTTCAAATATATTACAATTATATAATAAAAATTATAAATCATAATAAATTAATGTCCTTTTTAATAATTATACATTTAAAAATATATTTCACTATCATAATTCAAACAACTTTTAATGTACCAATTAATTTTTAAAAAAATATATATAAATATAAATTTTATTATGATAACTAATTTTTATCAAATTAATTTTTAATGAATTGAAAACCAAACAAGCACTTAATAATTTGTGTCTGAAAATACGTTTTTGGGGAGTTTTATTATTTCGTTGAGAAATTTTGGAGGCAGATAGATGGATAGATAAGTTGAAAATACTTTATAAAGCAAAGGTGTGGAATCTGAAGAAAGCAATTTGGGGCAGGCCATTGTCACAGAAATTACTTGCTAAAGGTGCTATCCATTTTGTATGCACAGCTTTAAGTTATTTGAGATCTCAGTAACAGCAGCAAAGGGACCTCCTTGCTCGCATATCTTTCCATAACTGCTTTTTCCTTACGCCAATGGTAAATGGCCTTAGGAGTCTGCTGAAACAGGACAACCTGCTCCATGCTTCACTTCATTACTAGATTCTGTTGGTAATCACACAAATATCTTGACCATTATGCGAGATTCCACAAGGGTTTATGCTAGGGCAAATGACAATTAAGGATTCTTTAAGAATATTAATGATGATTATAAATCTTAAATGTATTTGTTTAATATTTCAAGTGATTTGTTTGTATGTTGACAATAAAAAAATTGAGATTTATAATTGATTTTCATAAATTTTTAATTGACGTTATAAAAATCTTAAATGTATGCAATACATTTTTTAATTAATTATTTATATTTTTTAACTGTAAGTAAGAACTATAGTTTATTATTGACATTTTAAAAATTTAAAATCTATAATTATCATTAATATTTTTATCATTTTTTCATTTATATTAATTGTTGAGAACTAATACAACCATTCTCTGTTATCCAAACTTAATACCCATTACGCAAAACATAAAAGGAGTCCTCTTTCTTTGTAATTTGCGTCAAATTGGCACTCTACCGACACAGTAATTTTTTTATTTTTTTATAAATTAAAATTTTTTTAAAAAATTAATTTTAAATAAGATAAATTAAAACTAAAATTTTATTGTATGTTTTAGCTTTTTAAAATTTAAATTGTACTCTTTTCCATTTAAAAATTTAAGATATTTTTTTAGAGGTTGAATATTAAAAAAAAATGCAAGGCTTTTTTTAAGTATTTCAAAGTGTAGTTAATTACTTTTTTTTTTTGAAAAGTGCACATGATAAATAAATTATTTTATATTTATTTTAAAATAAAATATCCTATTCAATAATTATAAATATAAAAAAATAATGCTAATTTAAAGACAATTAAATATTTTATTAGGAAGCAAAATTGAGTTAAAAATATTTTATATTTTTTAAAATAAAATGTTAGTCATATTTTTTGTATATTCTAAAATAAATTGTGTGAAAATAAAATAAATTATTATTCATATTTGTATATTCTAATGACTAAAAAAACTTCTTATATTGTGCAAGGAAAAAAAAAGATAGTAAATAGTAGTTTCTAATGAAATTAAAAAATATAGTTAATAAACCATTTTTAAAAAAATTAATAAAATTTAACCTTCACTCTTCTCTCTTCTATTTCTCTTAAACAACGTGGATTAATCTCAACAATATGAATTAATGCACCCATGCATTGCACCAGTTTAAAATCTTATTCATACAACTAAAGTACAAAAATATAATTTATGACATTTACTAAAAAAAAAAAAATTATGACACAGCAAAAAGGTAACTAATAATCAGTAGCGTTGGGTGCAGTTTTCTAACTTCCATTCCATCTTTCCTATAGAAAGCAAAGAAGCAGAGAGCTAAAGGAGACAAAAATAACAAGATAGGTTAAGCTATCGCTGAGAATCATCTAGTCCACCCAATTCAAATGGGTTGGCAATTAATCCACACCAATTTCCATCATTTAACTAATGAGTAATGATCCAATCCTAATAGTTTTTTTGAAATTGCATTGCCTGAGACAAAGTGTAACAATTTTTTCTTCAACCTAAATGTCAAATTACTACATTTTCAAGTCTCTAAAATCTAACTGACTCTCAACTACTTGATTATTGACACAACGAAGATGCTTTCCACGCTTGAGATCTTACCATATTTGTCATGCTGCAATGTCAAACGATCAGCATATGAACAGTACCATTGATCGGCATACCCTATAATTGTAGTCATAATGAATTTTTTGACAGAATTTGTTCCACTAGTTAGTGAGGGACAAAACACCTAGAGATTTGACTTTATAAATTGTTCAACAAAATTCCACCAAGAGAGAGAAAACAAGCATAGCTCCTGGTATTATCCCACGTTAATTTTTCATGTCAATGTCCTGCTATTTGGGTCTGAAATTTTGGGACATGTAAGTTGTAACAACCTACAGAAGGCAAAAGCTGTCTCCAAGCCTCAAGTATTTGCAAGGGAGAAAAGCAATAACATTAATGTGTTCACCTAGTAGGAAATTTAGTACACTTTCCCAGTGCCCATAAGCACGTCACCTTTCATACGTTACAGCCATTGCCATCATAAGATTGCTAATCATCCCTTTTTTGTCAAGCTGCAACACCGAATGCACAAAAGGAATGACGCCATTCAATTTAAACATGTGAGCCATAATACCATGCCAGCAACAAAAAATGTAATGACCATATTATTACTTCGTGTCTTACCAGCTCCTAAAACTGAATTGCTAATTCAGAGGATGCAACACCCTCCTATTATTTGACACTATCAAATGACAGAAACTACACCTGTTATCTTTTCTTCTGTTTCTTTCGTTCTTTAATTCCGCTTTTATTGAGGTAAGGGAGTACCTCTTAGCTTGATAGCACTGATTAAAGAAAGCGTGCATATGCAGATACTTGACGATTGGTTCCTTCCAATTTCAATTTTACCAAGCTTTTTTTTTTTAAATAAAAAATTTTGCAAAGCTTGACTTAAGGAAATGAGAAAGACAAATGTTAGGCAGATAGCATAAACATGACCTAAATGCATGATGCACTCAACGGATAAAGGCATAAAACTAAGATAAAACCATTACTTGCACCCTTATGAACAGTTAAAGAACAAAGATTCCTCTGCCAACCAGCTCAAACCTTTTTAGAGAAATATCACAATTGCATGTCAACAATAATCATACAAAAGCTCATTCTAAATTATAGATTTTGTTTCTCCGGGAAGAAGTATGAAAGAGCTATTGATCCATGTGTTTCGCACCAAACAAATACGGGATACACTCTTAAATACTTGTAAAATTATTAAAAGTTTGAGGTACGAGAAGAAAACATCAACATCGTTGGCAGTATAATCAATTACCTAGTGTTTCTATGTTCAAGAATAGAGAATTATGTACAAACAATCTTGATCAACAAAAGCAGCAGGCATTATAAAGTCATTTTATGTTCAGGGAAATATTAAACACTTTTCTTGGATTTCTTGAATGCAACCTTTTCAACTGTAAACCATAGCAGTAAACTATTCGGCGTGCAAGATAAAGGAAAAGATGAACCCGCAAAATATATTACAAATTCTATTACGTTCAAGAATTGTAAATATCTATCAAACTGTGATGGTTTGAAAACCTGCTATCTGCCAACAACAAACTTGTAATAAATTGCCTACCTGTCAGGAAATAGAGTCAACCTGCAGAGTTTCCCCCCCCCCCCCAACTTTTTTCCCCTTACACAAAAATGATACATTTTAGTCCATCTCCTGCCCAGGAAGAGCATGCATAAGCGTTTGTGGCGATTCAAGTTCAGCCAGTAATGGTCCCCTTGCCTCTTCACATCTCAATTTTCGGTTACTTGCTAGCAACCCAAATAGTCCAAGACTCAAAAGCAGCACCAGAATGGCATGCACTGTGAAGATGAAATGCATCACAGTGATACCCCTCAGACCATCCTCGTCAAGATCACAGTGTATATCGACATTCTCGAGAGATGGCGAAGGAAGTGAAATCTTTTTACACCCTTTCAACATAAAAGCATCAGTGTACAGCGAGAACCCAGCCTGTAGCAACCACGTACCCTTGAAAATCAATCCCGAAGAGAGCAAAAAATCGGCGAAAAATGCAGTTGGCTTTATTGACAAGTATAGGCAAGCACCGACGCAAACAAGAGTTAATGCACCCAAGAATCCGTAGACGACTCCACCAAGACCCGCAATTCCTTTACCGATCACTGAATACTCCACAAGAAAGGAAATGGATCCAAAAATGAATACAAAACTCTCGCTAATCAGAGATGCGCCCAAATGCTCCTGAGCTAAAATGAAAAGGATCATGACCCAGAAGATAAAAAGCGCGATTGATTGCAGGAAAAATGAAAATCGGTAGGCGGGGTGGGTGGAAAGAGATAAGAAGATGACAAACTCAGACAAGGAAGCGATAGGGAGGGCTACGAGGAGAAAATATAGATCGATGTTTTTCCATGCGGGGTGAGAGAAATACCATAATTTGGATCGGAAATTAGATGGGTTTTTCAGGTAAAGGGAGGAAGAAAACAGCAAGCGGCGCAGGCCGACGGGGAAAAAGAAGAGGAAGCCGGAGAAATGGGTCGCCACCGATGCCATCAGTGAAGCATGCTAGCCTTCGTCTCGGTTTTGTTCTGCTTTCCGTTGACGTTTTCTCGCGGCCGTCTGGAATCGGAGAAAATGAAAACTCAGCATCGAGCCGTCAACCCCACAGACTAGTGTGACTGACTCACACGTTGGCAACAGACTTGGGGTTTGGACTTTTTCGAACAACATTGCAGTTATTTGAATTTTCGAAGAAATTAACAGGAAAAATGAGCCCAAAACGTAATTGTAAATTTTTTAAAATATAAAGTATAGATATCAGCATCAATAATTAGTATAAATTTGTGAGCTCTAATTACAGATAAAATATTTTAACTTTAAACATAACTGTTACCTTGACAATGAATTTGAATATGTATGAGTTATAGGTCAATTTTTTATTAACTGAATTAATATTTTTTACGCAAAAATTTTAACTTGCTATTTTTTTTGGTCCAGAATAACTAATTATTGTTCAAGTATTGAAATTAATATCGAATTTTGAAAGAAAAAAATCATTATTAAGTTTTTAAAATACATTTTGACCAATTTTTTTTTTAAAAAGACAGTAATGTTTCGTGAAAATTATATCTGTAAAGCATATGATTACAAAGTTTTCAGTTTTTAATTAATCAAATCATAAATGTGTGGGGTAACTATTTAAAAAAAATGATATACAAGAATTCAGTAATAAGAATTTAAAAGTGCTTCAGGTGCCTGCGTTTTACCATAAGAATTCAGTAATGATATAAAAAAATGGTATGCATGCAATGCCTGGTTTTACCATATGAATCAAGTGTTTGAGGATCTTGCTCGTCTTTTAACTTTGGACTTCTCCCCAGCTACTGTTGGTGAGCGTTAAGCTGGTTTGGGTTTCGTTTTGTATCAAAAAAAAAAAAAGAGAATTTAAAAGTGCTTTGAAGAACATCTGAACTCTGAAATGTTTTGTTGCGCACACATAAATGGTACAATGTACAGGAAGGAGAAAACACACACACACACACGAGGCGTGGAACGTTACACATTTTCCATTTCAAGGTCTCAAAGAAAACGGATCAAAGAAATAAGAAGGCAGGTGCCATCATAGGATAACTTTGATATTTGGATTCTTAATAATTTCTTACGTAAAAATTTTATGATTTTAGATATGATTAATATTTGTCTATTTTATACCGTTTTGCTGTAACCTTCTATTCAAATTAAAAAAAGAAAAAAGAAAACAAGAAGAACGTAGGTGAGATCGAGAATGCAACGCCGACATGTTGGACTGTTGGTGGTTGAGGGAAGTCACGTTCACACCAAATTTAAGGTTGCTACGCTCTTCACCGTCCCTTAACCAGCACCATCTTTGCTTGCATTCATTCATGAACCTGCTCCAACATTTAACACCAACCAAATTCAAAGGAGTGGAATGCAATTTTCTTCGTTCAAAGCAACGGTCGCAATGATGCCACGTGGATTCATCTGGCGACGGCGGCTGAGATGAAGGTTGGCCCACGAGATGCTGGCTAGCCATTAGGACTCGAGATCAAGATATTGTAAGAGTAACCCATAGCAGGGACCCCCGCTCACAAAATTGTGTTCAATTGAATTCTAGAATCTTGGACAAACACAAACTGTAACTAAAAATCAAAGCCACCAGATTGTGTGGCTCCTAGCGCTTCCTAGCTCAGCATCACACTAGCCTCCAAAGTATGAACCACTGGCACAAAAATTTACACCCAAAACTCCCATATTTCACAGAAGCTAATAAAGCCCAGCACCAGATACCTTTCTATCTCCACCTCTAGAATCAACCAACGAGAGAGACGCAGAAGAAGGAAGGGGTTGAGTTTTCGAAATGGCTTCTGCGATTCCTGCAATGCGGTCTTACTTCTATGGAAGCTGGGAAGCTTCTTCAATGGCGGGCGAGGATTACAGCGTGTTGGTCAAATCGGTGCCTTCCCAAGTTCGATTTGGGGGTGGCAAGGCAGTGAGGTGCCAGCCCATGATGAAGAACGTCAACGAAGGGAAGGGTCTGTTCGCCCCTATTGTGGTTGTCACTCGCAATATCATTGGCAAGAAGCGATTCAACCAGCTTAGAGGCAAAGCCATTGCTTTACACTCTCAGGTATGCCTCTTCTTTTCACGGCAAGGCCTGTACATGTACATGTTGCTTCTTAGTTGCTCGGTTTCCAGAAGAAAATTTGCATTCTAAGGTTATGTTTTGAAATTTACCAGAAAAAGAAGCTGGCGAAAACATGTTTTGTATTGATTTATGTTGGTTAGGATTGGGCAGAACGCAAACTTCAATTTGGAAATTTTGAAATCAACCTTCCTTCCCTTTATTTCAAAAACTGAGTGGGGGATAAACTGAGCTTTTGGAAGGGAAATGTTCTGCTTCTGCTTCAGTGTATCTGAAGAGATAGTTCTGATGCAAATGCTGTCTTTAATCACATCTAGAGAAGTAAACTAATAAAAATTGCGTGCAAGATGTCTCGAGCATCACTGTGAGTTGATTAAAATAGAATGTGTTTGAAGAAGCAAGTGTTTGCAAAGTTTGCTCGTGCTGATTTTGAGGTACAGAAGGAAGGATGAATTGTTCGTGGGTAGATAAGAGGTCGAATTGCTAATACGGTTTGAAATGTCTGGCAGGTAATTACAGAGTTCTGCAAATCAATAGGAGCAGATGCAAAACAGAGACAAGGACTGATTAGGCTGGCCAAGAAGAATGGAGAAAGACTTGGATTCCTTGCATGAAGGCTTTAGCATATTGTAATCATCTTCATGGGGGTGAAAGTTGAAGTTTGAACTTTATAAATTTCACCTTTTTACGTGAGAATGTAAACTAGGAACTCATCTCCCACTCATGCAACCTTCATTCTTCAATTATACTTGTCTTGTACTCTGTTCTTTATATACTTGAGATAAAATTAGTAAGGCCTTAACCAATTGTGACACAATTAATGGTATCCACTAAATTGAGCTGTTTTGACGTTTTCTTTTTACATATCTATGATCTCTACTCATTGCCCCGTTGAACTGATATTAGATTACGAGCAATATAACGTCGATATCATTTCTGACATAGATGTTATAACAGTTTTTCTAACTCCTCAGGTTGCCTTGATTGCAAATGCTGAATTATATATCTGTTAGGCTTTACAATAAAAATTACTATAAACCATATTTTGATATGAAACCAAACACTCTACATCTAATGTTTTACCTCACAATGAACTCACCATTCTGTTTCTCTAATTCTCTTCACCAATATACTCATTTGTATCAGTTCAAAGAGGGTAAGGAGAACTCACGACCCTACAGGGCAAATCGCAGCTTCACATATTGAGCGACTCTTCAAACTCTTGGAAAGAAAAAAGGGTCAAGAAAAACAGCACCAAATCAGTATAAATGGCAGTCCACGTTGATGGAAAACGTTCTATGGTGCAACAAAAATCAATATTCTTTTGGTATTACATCCAGAAGAGAGTATGGGGGAAAAGAGCAAAGGAAACTAACGTTTGAACCAAAAACCTATGCTCTGATACACATGGCACAAATAGGTTAAAAGACTAGCATAAAAGCGAGGAAATTTCCAGTGAGCGATTACACACTGTATCGACTCTTTGCTGATCTATCCCTCCTCGAATCATCCTGCACCAAGTAGAGAAGTGAAAATAACTTCTTTTTCCCCCTGATAGTCAGTCCTAAAAAAAAAAAGCAGGGCAGAGAAGAAGTATACATGAACGCTATAGTAGATCTTGTCATTGACGTCAATGATCTCCTTCCATTTCCTCCCAATGCTCATCTGCATACATTTCAAAATCATAACAAGCTCACATTAAATGTGTTGTGATGGGTTTTGGTTTACTAAATTCACAATCGAATGAACAAAATATATCACTGACTTTAGGCACAAAAAGATGTAATTGATCAGAACAGAATCAATACAATTCTGCAACTAACTGAATCCTCAGTGACTCAAACTACGAAGCCAAGTTACCAATTGACATTAAAAGATACATAAACAAATATAAACATGCTGTTTAATCATAATCGCATTGTAAAGTTATTGATAAAATTTGGAAAACAACATTGGACACGTATATCCTTCAAGATGTAAGACAGCTAGGCACCAGTAAAGGGAAGAGCTGTAATAAAGAATTCACTCTTGAATCTTGATCCTTTACAGAATAAGTAAAATTTGCCAGGCAGAAGAAAAGGGAAGGAATAAAGATGAGGGACCAACCCCTAAACTTGACCATACTTGGACTCCAAATACACAATTAATGTTCATTTATCCCGTACTCAATCAAAATAAGTGCACTATATTCATAAACTTTAACCCGTCCCATAGTGAAAAAAGGATACTGACACATGAGAAATTCACAAATCTAATCAAGGTAGATCAAGTCTACCCAAGAATCTCACATATTTCCAATTCAGTTGCATGTTTTTTGCAAAGTTCAATATTGCTGGCTATAAAAGAATGTATCATTAACCAAATCAAATTCCAGTTATAACAAAGGCATCATTGGAATATAGCAAGCTCCTTTCCAGTAATGACAACAACATCATATAAGCAACCCTTAGACCACAATCATTTACATACATTGCACAACTTTGAGCCACAGCTGTTGGAACGAGCATGCATTCAATCATAGAACTAAGGCCACAACCAAAAAATATTTTTATCACATAAGCTGAAATATTACCATAACAACAACAAGCCTTTATCCCATTAAGTGGGGTCGACTGCATGGATTGCAAGACACCATTGCGCTCTATTATTTACCAAGCTTTTAGAAATATTATTAATTAAGAAATTACGTTCAACAACTTTCAAAAGTATTTTCTTAGACCTTCCTCTACCCTTATTAACAAAGCTTAAAATTATATGTTTCACTTTTCTCACTGATGCCTCTCGCAGTCTTCTTTGTACATGCCCAAACTATTTCACATGATTTTTTATTATTTTTTCTTCTATAGGTGCTACCCTTACTTTTTTGTGTACATGCTCATTTCAAATTTTATCTTTACATGTATGTCCACACATCCATCATAATATTCTCATCTCTGCTACTCCAACTTTATGCTCTTGTTGTTCCATTAGAGCCCAACATTCACTATCATATAACATAGCCAGTCTGATAGCAGTGCAATAAAGCATTCCTTTAAGTTTATTAAGCACCTTACGGTCGCAAATAACTTCGTTATCTTTTTTCCAATTAAACTACCCAACTTGAATCCTATGTAAAATATCCTCACTAATTTCGCCATCATTTTGAATAATGGCTTTCAAATATCTAAACTTTTTCATTTGAGGTATAATTTGATCTTCCAATTTTACTTCCAAATTACTGACGACTAGTCTCTTATCAAATTTACAATATAAATATTCCCTTACTCCTACTCAAACGGAAGCCTTTCAACTCCAATGTGCTCCTCCATAACTCAAGTTTACAATTAATCTCTTCTCTTATCTCTGCTATAAGAATTATATCATCCGTGAAAAGCATACATTTGAGAATTTCCCTTTGAATATGTTCCGTTAAAACATTTAAGATCAAGTTAAACAGATAAAGATTCAAAGATGATCCTTAATGTAATCCAATCTTTATAGAAAAGTCCTTTGTTTGACCACTAGGTGTTCTTATACTAGTTTTTATCCCCTCATACATATCTTGTATAACTTTAATATAAGCAATCCGTACTCCCTTCTTTTCCAAGGCTCTCCAAAGCATTTCTCTTAGTATACGATCATAAACTTTTTCCAAATCAACAAAAACCATGTGTAAATCTTTATCTTTGCGATGATACTTTTTCATTAATCCTCTTAGTAAATAAATCGTCTCTGTAGTCGACCTACTTGGCATAAAACCAAACTGATTCTCAGAAATACTTGTCTCCAATCTCAACCTATGCTCAATTACTTTCTCTCACAATTTCATTGTATGGTCATGATTTTAATCCCTCTATAGTTAATATAATTCTGAATATCTCCTTTATTTTTATAAATAAAAATTAATGTACTTCTCCTTCAGTTGTCAGGCATTTTCTTGAACCATAAAATCACATTAAATAACTTAGTTAATCATCTCACCTTTTTTCACCTAAACATTTCCACACTTCAATAGATATACAATCAGGTCCGTTAGCTTTACCATTTACCATTTTTTTAAGAACTCCCTTTGCCTCCTTATCACATATTATTTGATAGAATGACAAATTTTGTTCTCCTTCACGAGTTACTGAATCCTCCAAATTATTAGACGAATCCTCTCCATCATTGAAAAATTTGAAAAAGTAAGTCTCCCATCTATTTTTAATTTCATCATCTGTAACTAAAATTCTTCCCTCTTCATCCTTTATATACCTTACCTGTTCTAGATCTCTTAATGTTCTTTCCCTGCTCTTAGCAATCTTATAAATGTTTCGTTCTCCTTCCTTTATCTCAAGGCTCTTATAAAATTCTTCAAAAATTTTAGAACGAGCTTCACTCACAGCTCTTTTAATTTCTTTCTTAGCCATACTGTACCTTTCCCAAATTTAAAAAGGTTTAGCTAACGAAAAATCACAAACTAGAATTAGCCAATATGCCAAGAAATCATTCACAGAATTACCACCAATATTATCAGGTAATCAGAATGTTTCATTTTTAAATCATAGCATTTGGTTTGTTTATATGTGCAGCGCAGCACAATGCCCTCACCCCCAAAAAAAATTCAAAGAATATCATGGAGTCACAAAATCTAGGGTGAGTATATTTCAGTTAACCGATGATCAGAACACACTCAGCATATACTGGGGATGAAAATTGAAATTGCCATGATTTCATTTTCCCTTTCCCTTGATTCCATCAAAGAACTTCAATTTTTTTTCAAAGGACAATTACACAAACCCTTCCACCCATTACAACCCTTCCCCATAGGGGAGGAAAACTCACACACCCCAAAACCCACTTAGGGGTAGACCAGCAACTTCCCCTTTTGCAGAGGTGCTTGATGCCATTGTGGCACTAGAATACCAACATTTGAAAAGTAAAATTAGAATGAATAGCTGTAAAGTGCCAAAGCAGGAAAAGATAGCAAGAAAACTATTACACTAAATAGTATCATAATAAACTATTACACTAAAGATAGCAAAATATTTTTTTTATGAACTGTCACTCTGTCAAATCACAGAAATAAACCTCCGCGTCCAGATTCACATGAGATCGCTACACAGTAAGTGCCATAATGATGCTTCCCAATAGAAACAATAACTCCACCAATAAAATACATCAACAGAAAAAAAAGAAAAATAAAACGTGGTTTGTCCTGAACAAAATGTAGCTTGTAATCAAGCAAACAATAATTCAACATTGCAATGAGATGTCAGCATGTGAGAAGCATATATTGAGATTGGCCAACAAACATAAGTTTATATTAAGTATTTGATACTTGTCAACAAAGGATCTTCCATTGTCTTACTGGAGATCCCAAAGGATTTTGAAATTAAACCAGTTCCATATTTAAAGGTTTTGACTTCCTCTCAATTTATACAACTAAGTTGTGGTTGGGCCCAAATCATTAATAATTCAACTACATGAAGACAAGAGCGGTTTCACATGCCAGCATATAGTCATGGTGAGAGGGAGAAACCACCCCCCCCAAAAAAAAGCCAAAAAAAAAAAAAAACACTTTTCCCAAAGATGAACCCCCCCGGGGGGAGATGTTGAACTTGCAAAACCTTTTATAAGCAATTCCTTACACGGGGAAATTCTTAGGAAAGAAACAATCATTTTCTTTTCCTACGGGAAGACTAATAGGTAATCTCCATTCTGAGTTTTGAATTTTCATCATATCTTCTTAACTATATAGATTCATATGTTAATCTTGCATTGGTTTAAAGGCTGACATATAGAAAGGAAATAAACTGGTTTTTCCAAATGTTTCTTCAAATGCAAGGAGTGAGAGGTCATTTAAGCTATAAACATTACAAAAATTAAGCTTAGACGTAAGATAAAAGGTAATTTTCTTGCAAACTGTACTACTTGTATTGAAAGAGATATCGCTGAAAAGTTCAACAAAAACTCAACTATTGATGGATTTTATAAAATTGAAGTATTAGTTAGAAAGAAATCAAACCTGGGCAGCCTCGTTTGCTGCTGTCTTTGTCCATAATGAAATTTTGTCCTGCCTCTGGCGCACACTTGCAACCACACCACATATGTCGTCACCCTCATCAAATTTCTCCCCAATCAAAGCCATCAACTATTGACCGGAATCAAAGGATTAAAAAAATTGCATAAAACAGATCTTCATGTATTTTGCTAAGTGGACAAAATGGCCAGCAAAAGTATTACAGTTTCAAGCCACATGGTATCCAAGTTAGCCTTTCTACTGCAGGTCGCAGTCCACTTTCCTCCACTAGCGCACTCAGGATCTTCCCATTTTGGTTCAATTCCAGATTTGAACAGGTGGAAATCCGCATTGCCAGGCAACTTGCTAGGCTTAAATATCTGATCATACAAACTACAGGAGGATTTCACGTTAAAAATGTCTTGCCATTAGCAAATCTGATGCAAAAAGCAACAACAGAAATTCTTAACCCCCGCAGCATCATTAAGCGTTTAAGCCCATGCTTCGTAAATGACAAACTTTTCTAAACCAAAACTACAGAAACTTTTAAGAAGTTGGATCAACAGAGCCTCTCCCAACAAAACAACTTCAGGAGATCCATGATCTTATCAAAGTTTCCTCTAGTTGCCCTTAAAATTATCTGAATCCGTAACAACCAACTAAATCTCACACAAATGAATAAGATGCAACAAAATTTCCAAAAGGAATAAAAAATATCATTCTACAGGAAAGCATACCACCAGAACTCCTCGACGGTGTCGAAGTCGTAAACCTTGCGAAGCGAGGTTCCCCAAGCAGCACCTTGCTTAGGCTTTGTTTGATTATCGAACCAAAAAGTCCACTTTCTATCAAGTTTATGTTTGGAACCTGTCTCCGACGCCGCCACCTCCGTCGGCGCAGCCACAGCCTCAGTTCCTTCAACTACTGCTTCGCTCGCCATCCCTTGCACGGAGAACAGAGGGCTGGCTTGCAAGTCTCAGGTTTAATGGCTACACCTCCGAGATCAGATGTCATTGTTCTTCACCCGGTTTTGGGCTTTCTATAAGTCCAAGTCAAAAGTCTAAACCCTTGTATTGGGCTTTCAGCATTAAATGTAATATTTTAAAAAAATAAAATTTATTTATATTATGAATTAAAAATAATCATAATAAGAGATTAAATAAATAATTATGGATTATTTTTATTTACATATTGATTAATATTGATATTGATATATTAATTGTCATAGTCACTTGAGTCTTGATCATTGGCTCATTGCAAGCTTAGAGATATAATATGCACGGATGCTACTACGTTTGCCTTGGTCTTGTATTGAGTTAAAATGTTGCTTTAATTATCATAACAATTAGATTGACCAGATTATTCTTTTTTTCTTTTTATGAAACATGGAATGAAAAGATTATTCTAATTGAGAGGCTCTTGTGCATTAGTCCCTATATAATTCTCTCTCTCTCTGTTTTTTACTTTTTGGATAAAGCTCTCTAGGTAATTCTTAGTTTCCAACACTATTAATTAACCATGAGTGGTCTTGAATTCCGGCAAAAGCAAGCACAAACCGATAATATAGTTAATATTAATTTCACGTTTATTATTAACAAACCCATCACATATTTTATTTGTTATAAAGCAACCGTATACTATATAAAGCACCCAAGTGTTGATTAAAAACAAATTAATGATCAGTATCAATAAAGAAATATATAATACACACACATATATTCTAAGTTCTACTTTTCAATAGTTGTTAATGATTTCATATCACACCTAGTCCTATTACTCAATTCATTCAAAAATGTAAAATATCTTTTAAAAAATTGGATGTTAAAAAAAAATTAATATTTCAAAATGTCAATAATAAATCAATCACTTTATATTCATTTTAAATCAAAACATTTTATTAAATAAAAATAAATATAAAAAGATAATGATAGTTTGTGAACAATTAACCATTTTATTGAAAGTGAGATTCGATTAAAAATATTTTATAATTTTTAATGAAGAGAGTAATTTATAGAATGAAAAGATAATTAAATTTACATACTTAATAATGTTAAATACAAAAAATAAATCAATTATGAGAAGTTCTTCATGGAAAGAAGTATTAATCTGGGAAAGTTATCCCCTATTTAGACCGAATTAACAATGTTTAAATATGAACCAGTAATGCAAGGTATCTCCATTAACATTTGTCACTGTCCTCCAAGAATGTCAGTTTCATGCAAGGTATGTGAAAAGGATGGGTATGCAGAACTCAGAAGCCAAGCAGCAAAGACAGCGTATACATGCATGAACATTGCACCTGATCTCAACAAACGCCCCATGAAATTATGCATGCAAGCCACGTAAATCTGTGAAGCTTTGCTGTCTCTTGTCATTTGTGCCCATCTAGCTACCGTTCTCTTCCCTGCTTCTCAACCCCGGGTATATCTTCAACTAGAACGAACAGCTTTTCTTCTTCAAAAATTACTGAGTATTGCTGCAGCCAAAGAAAGCTTAAGAAGGAGATTATAAAAAGAATGGAAGGAGAGATAGAGAGGGAATCGCTCATAACTGAGGCTAACAATGCACCTGTTACTGCTCAGAGAAGGGTCAGGGATGACTTGGAAACTTCTCTTCCCAAGCCATGTAAGTTTCGTTTCATTACTACTCTTCTCCTCCTGATCCGAAACCTTTTTATGTTTTAATGCTAAGGAAAAAGAAACAGAAATCCTTCAATAAGATTTTGTTATTCATATGGATTCATGTCTTGGCAGACATGCCCAGAGCACTGACAGCTCCTGATACAAGTCACCCACATGGTACTCCACAACATAGGCACCACAACTTGACTGTTCTTCAGCAGCATTGTGCTTTTTTTGATCGAGATGACAATGGAATTGTTTACCCTTGGGAAACTTACATGGGTAATAGCTCTTGTTATTTACTGATCATGAGCTTTATGATTTTTCAGGTGTCCAAGACTTATAAGATTTTTAGATTCATTAAATATTTAAAATTTATTTGATGTCTATGTCTAGCCAACCATCTCTAATTATCTATTTTTGAAATGATCAGGGCTGCGAGCAGTTGGATTTAACATCTTTGCCTCTTTTCTCATGGCAGTTTGCGTCAATTTGGCTATGAGTTATCCTACTCAGCCTGTAAGTCGTTCTAACTCATCCTGGAAAACTAGAGGAAAAAAAAGTGGAGAAGTTTGATCATTTCCTATGTTCCCTTAGTGGTTTAGCTCCGTATGCCTTCATTTTTCATTCAGTTGTATTCATTTTAAGGAGTAACATATGCATTTAACATGCAATTTGGGTTTGAAGCGAAAAAACAGTCAAGGCTATAGAATATATAAAAACATTAAGAGAATGCAATTTTGCAGAGTTGGATTCCTTCTCTTTTGTTTCCGATATATATACACAACATACACAGAGTAAAGCATGGGAGTGACGCTGGAGTTTATGACACGGAAGGACGGTATGCAATTATGATTATGAGAAACTGTGTGTCCCAATATATCATGCATGCAATTTGATTACAATATGTTTGGCAACATGGCTCGATGAAACTGCAGCTACGTACCAGCAAATCTTGAACACATGTTTAGCAAGTATGCTCGCACAGTGCCTGACAAGCTCACAATTGGAGAGCTCTGGGAAATGACTGAGGGAAACCGAAATGCATTTGACCCATATGGCTGGTGAATATCCAGACATTATTATTATTATTTTTTTCATACGGTATTTTGTTAATTCATGGAACATGGAACTAAATTGACAGTAGCATGTAAAATCCTCAAATGAAAGCATGCTGGACCTTTATTGTTATTGTTGTTGTTACTGAAAGTCTGAAACATGTATATGGAGTGTGTTTTCAGGCTTACATCTAAAATGGAATGGGGGTATCTATATCTTCTTGCTAGAGACAGTGAAGGTTTCCTTTCTAAAGAAGCAGTTAGGCGCTGCTATGATGGGAGTTTATTTGAATATTGTGCTAAAATACAGGCAGGTAAGTTGGTTTGAATCAGTTAGGAGTATATGATAGACTCTGCTGTTTGGTTTGGTGTGATTAGAGATTGGCAAACTCATGTCATCTGACGTGAAAATCTGGGAACATTAGCTTTGAGATTGACCCATCCATGTGTTATAATAGCAGTGCACTCCAATATCCTGCATAAGCTTTGCACCACTTGTATTTGTGACTGTTTCATGTAATGTAGTTCTTTTCTCATCAGTGAAATGCCACTACTGTGTTCAGCTCATCTACTTTATTTGGTTTCTCCAAATTTGAAACAACAAAGTCTACAATAAAAGAGGCATAAAGAAAACCCAGCTGGCTGGCTGTTTCCTTTAATTGGGAACTTATTTCTGAATCAACGTTATTAGCATTTATGAGATCCCCAAGGGGAGGAGAAGATATCAATACGTTAAATAGTAAATTAGGCAACATAGTACATTGGATTTGGCAGTTTAAATGTCCTTCCAGCGCTTGGAAGCCCTTCAATGCTGCTGTACTGGTCCCCAACAATGCCCCAAATGCGATAACCCTCACTAATTAGCATTTTTCTCCCACCAGACTTGTATTTCTGTACTGATACCAATTCATCAGCATGATCTCTGTGCAAAAAATAAAAAATTAGCCAGAAAATGAAGAGTAAGAGGGTAGAACATATATAAAAGATAGGATAGGGATGTATCATGTATGTACTGACCTCAATACAATACCAGCCCACCCATGATAACCAACCCTGACAAGGTTGTCAATGGTGGCTGATCTGAGATGCTCCCTCCTTGCAGAAACCAAAATAATCTGAACTCCTCTGGACTCAGTTCATTGAAAAGCTTTAAGGAGTGATCGAGAGCAGGAGCCTTGGCTTTGCTCATCCATTCCTCTAGAGATGTCAAGTTCAATTTATTTCCCCTGTTTTAATCAAGAAAGCCCATCATTCATAATGCTTGACTTGTATGCTAAGAACTCAAGGAGCTGCTTGGTATGAGAATGCCATCATAGCAATAATACAATTAGCATTTTACAAGTCAAGTGAGGTGTTATACCACATAGTCTTTGCTCATCCATATTTATATTTTGATATCTTAGATGCTGATTGAAACGCGGGGTGAAAATGACAAATATATTGTGTTAAAACTTAAAAGCTTATCAGTAGTTAATGTGCCTAAATGCAACTAGGGGATGAGAGTTACCCGTATAAATTATTTTTGTAGTAGGGAACAGTTGACAGGAGAGTATCATCAATGTCAAAAATCCAAGCGTCCCTGGAATCTTTCTTCAGATTGCAGCTGGTGCTAAGATAAACCAAGCATTCCTCAGTAGCTCTTTCTGAGTCGACTCTGTACTGAGGGGATCTGACGTATTTCCCAATGTGATCTGTGCATTCTTCAGGCACGACTTCAAAGTCTCTAATGTTGTGCAGTTCAACATTCATTCTCCAACTCTCACAGTAATTCTTCAAGCTGATCTTCAACCTATTACGGGTCCCCAGGTTCAGTATATTCCAATCTGCTACAGCGAGGGGGATGAAAAGGCACAAGAAAACCAGATAGTACCAAAGAGATTTACCCATTTTTGGGAAATGACAGAGAGTTGAGGAATAAAATGGAGCATGATAGCCTTATGTATACCTGTCATTGATTCAGAATAAGACGTGATCACATGGGTTTGATAGTGGGTGGATGCTGGAAACTTGACTTGCCGCGCCGCCGTCACATGCTGACATCGCTGGCAAACGCCTTAATGAAATTAGATTCATTTAATCAGGCAATCATCTCTTAAAAAATAAAGTTTCATTTTTATTTTTATTTTTGAGAGAATTTGCCCTTGGATGTAACATAATTTTAATAAAGCATTAAAAAATTATGAAATTTCACTATAAACCTAGAGAATTGAAATAAAATAAATTATCTTGATTAAATAACTAAAATACACTTCAATTATAATTAACATTGTTAGAAATAAACATTGTTAGAAATAACTGGTGAAGTTATAGTTTTTGCAAGTAATATTATTAAAATAAATGTAATTTCTTGTTATTTTGATAATGTTACTTGTAAAAATAATAACTTGACTTATTATTTTACTAATATTACTTATAAAAATTATAACTTAATTTTTTATTATAATAATGTTACTTGTAAGTATAGTAAGTTAGTTTGTTATTTTATTAATATTACTTATAAAAATCATAATTTGACTTGTTATTTCAATTATGTTGCATATAAAAATCATAACCTGACTTGTTCTTCTAATAATATTATTTGTAAAAGGCATAATTTGACTTTATTATTATAGAAATCTTACTTATAAAAACCATAATTTAACTTATTGTTTTAATAATATTAATCATAATTGTAGGGTATTTTGGCCATTTAACTAAAAAAATTTACTTCATTTCATTTTTCTGAGCTTGTGGTGAAACTTTAAAATTTTTGAGTCTCAATTAAAATTATGTCACATACGACAGCTTTTAATGAAAACCCCCCGCCTTTGCTTTTTTTTTTTGGTCTGAGATCCCTCAAAGCAAGGGGCTTGCATATGAAATGACAAGAATAATGTACGCTTCAATTTGTCTCTCAAATTCTGCGGTTTGGAAAATCGAATCACATTCTCATTTTTTGTTGTGTCAAATACTTCCTTCCTTGAATATTATAGGTATTTTTTTAAAAAAATATCACACTAAAAAATATAAAATATTTTAAATCTTTTAGAGTGTAATTTTATTAACTAATTGATAAAATTATTTTTTAATTAGGATAATATGTTAAATAAATATAAACATAAAAATAATGTATGATTTTAAATTTTAATAACTAATTTATTGAAAAATGTAAATTAAATGAATGTGTTTTAACACATCAAAGGTGGCCCACTTCTTCATGTTTCGGTTGACAAAATGACTCATCATGTGAATTTTTTTTTAGACCGGATAAAAGGGAAAAATATCATTAATGGATGTAAAAAAACAGAGTTTTAGCCGTGAGCAAGAGGCAAAGGCATACGTAGAAACAGATCGAGACAATAAATCAGCTAATCCCCTCACAGTCTTGTCTGGCAACTGACTTTTGTAGCTGATCATCATGGAAAGCCTTAACATCTCTATCCAAAATAATAGAAAGAGAGGGTGGAGGTTTGAAGACCTAGCCTGGAGGTTCCACCCTCTTTGAAGTAGCGACTGCAAGGTGATCTGTAGTAGAGTTTCCTGATCACTTGACTAGGAGAAGTGCAAGTTACATTGGGAGGTCGAAGCATCCCAGAGATTTGAAAGTAAGCTGTGATAGGACCATTTACAATTAAACAAGCTTCTAGTGGTCAAAGCTCTGAAAAGCTCCTGGCAATCCAATTTGAGGACAAAACATTGATGTATCAACTCATAATTAAAGGCAGAAATCAGTTCAATAGCCTTTTTACAAGCAAGCAATTCAGCCATGAAACTAGAATCAGCAGCAACTGGTTTACAGCAACCTTTAATGAGCTTACAAGAATGATCTCTCAAAATAATACCAATACCTGCATGGCCCGAAGAACTAATGTAGGAGTCATCACAATTCACTTTGATTTTACTAAGCATAGGGGGTATCCATGTAGACGGTTGAGTTGACACTGCATTAGTCAAAGAATTATCAACAGTATTAGCATTCCAAAATTCACTAGCAGCTGCATTTGTGACTAATGCAACCTTGAAAGGATCTATTTCTACAGCAAAAAAAAAAAAACAACAGGTGACCTCATCTTCCATATATTCCAGCAAAGATTAGCAATATACATTTTGTCATAATCCTCAAGAAATCTATTAATTGAGATCAAGTTATAGCACCATCTATCAAAAGTAGTAATATCATCAGCTTTGATTCTAAAGGATAAATAACAACCATACCAAGCTTGCTTAGCCTAATCACCAAGCAATTGAAGATGCTCGATTGTTTCAGGATGCTTAAAACAAACAGGGCAAAGTGGATGAATGGCACATTTTCTTTTATAATTGCCAAAGAATTGTTAGAGGCCCTCCACAAAAAATGTATACTCTTTAGTTGTAGTTTAAGGAGCCAAATACCTTTCCAAAAGTCATGTGGAATAGAAGTGGATGAGCTAGGGGCCTTGCTAACCCCTTTTATCGAATCAGCCATAGCTTTCCTATAACCCAACTTAGCCGCATAACAGCCATTATATGCAGCAGCCCAAACAACAGAATCAATAATAGAATTTATTAGAATTGGAATTTTCAAGATATTAGTGATTGCACTGCTGGAATAGAGGTTAGATAAAGATGAAAGGTCATATTTACTGTCAACAATCAAATATGAGACTAGCAGCCCTTCATTTTTATCAACTCTATCTTTCAAAACAGCTTTAAATGAGGGCATGTTAGGGATCCAAGGATCCTTCCAAGCCATGATGTTTGAACTAGAGCCTACTCTCTAACAAAGGCCTTTAGCAAGAAAATCTCTCCCTGTAAGGAGGCTACTCTAAGCTTAGGATGCCTTAGATCCATGCTTAGCCTCAAGAAAAGATGCGGTAGAAAAATACACACTCTTTAGTACTTTGACCCGTAACTGGTCAGGATTGTGAAGAAGCCACCATGCCATTTAGCAAAGAGCACATCATTAAAGTTCATGAAGTCTTGAAAACCTAGTCCACCATCATCCTTGGCATTATAAAGTTAGACCAAGCCTTCCAATAAATGTTACTTCTATCATTAAATTGACCCTAAGAGAAGCTAGCTACCATGCTATCAAGTTCTTTACATGTTCTTTTTGAAAATTTGAAGCAGAGCATTGGGTAGAAAGGAATAGCATTAATGACAACTTTTATCACTATCTCTTGGCCAGCAAAGGAGAGATGCTTGTTTCTCCATCCTTAAATTTTCTTACCAACCTTATCCCTCACACAATCAAGTACTTCTACTTTAGATCTACCCCAAAGGATAGGTAATCCTAAATGAGATCCAAGATCATCAACAGTAGGAATGTGAAGGCAATGGTAAACTTCATTTTTAACACATCATGTAAAAATTTTAAAATACTAATATATATGACCCATGTAGGATTACTAGATTTTACACCACGTGATGCAAGATGATATTGTATTAACCCTTTATTTTACTTTGAAACCGTCAAAATTGATTAGGAAAAGTGAAAGAAGATCTTAATTAGTTTAATTTTTTTAGACAAAACGAAAAAGACAAAAGGTGTTATAAAATTTTAATAAAGATAAAATTTAGGGAGAAAGAGTAAGGAAAACCAATTAAAAACAATTTCTCTTCTTAATCTAAAAAAAAAAATCAAATTCATGCAAGTCTTCTCTTTTCCTCCTTCCATTTCCCTCACACCAAACAAAGAATAACAAGTCTTGTTATTATATTCACTTGAATTAATGCAATTTCTTATTATTATCATAATATTACTTGTAAGATTCATAATTTAACTTATTATTTCACTAATGTTATGTATAAAAACTATGACTTATTATGAAAATAATGTTACTTGCAAAAACTGTAATTTAATTTAATATTTTACTAATGTTACTTGTAAAAAATATTACTTGACTTATTATTTTAATTATGTTACTTGTAAAATATGTAATCTAACTTATTATTCTAATAATATTACTTATAAAAACTATAACTTGACTTATTATTTTAGCAATCTTACTCATAAATATAACTTAACTTATTATTTCAGCAATATTAATCATAATTGAAGGACATTTTTGTTATTTAATTAAAAAAATTTATTTCATTTCAGTCATATAGACTTGTAGTGAAATTTTAAAATTTTTTGAACCTTAATTAAAATTATGTAAAATTTAAGAGCCTTTAATAAAATTCTCCCCTCATTTTTTTTTTGTTTGACATTCCTAAAAGCTAGGACTTGCAAATAAAATGAAAAGAACAATGCAAACAAATGTGTAGATTGATTGATCCATCAAGCTTTCACCAATAATTTTAATGTACTTATTTTTGACACAGCACCCTTTGATTGTAGAAATTTTTTATATACTGACATAACTCATCATGTTGATTAGCACGGTTTTTGCATAGCCTCCCATTCAAAAAAAAAAAAAATGACAAGAACAATGCACGCTTCCATTTGTCTCTCAAAGTATGCGGTTTGGAAAATGGAATCACGTTGTGATTGTTTGTTATTTCAAATTCTCCCTTCCTTGAATATTATAGGTATTTTTTAAAAATATCACACTAAAAATATATGATATTTTAATTCTTTTAAACTGTAACTTTAGCAATAATTGATTAAAAAATTTTAATTAAGATAATATATTAAATAAATATAAACATAAAAATAATATATAATTTTAAATTTTAATAACTAATTTATTGGAAAGTGTAAATTAAATAAATGTACCTTGGGTGTGTTTGGATTTTAATTGGAAAAAATTGATTATTAGAATGTGATGGTGTTTGGATAAAATTTCAAGAATTAATTATGATATTGATTTTTCAAAATGGAACAAATTTCAACTTATTCCAAATGGAGTTTTGAAAACCAAATGGAGTTTGGAAAAATTAAGATGTTTAGATAAAATTTTTCAAAACCATAATTTTGAACTTAAAATTAATTCTAAAAGGGTATCCAAACAGACCCTTTAACGCACCAAAAATAGCCCACTTCTTCATGATTCTGTCAAAAAAATGACTCGTTATGTGAACATTTTAAAATACTATTATTTATGACTTGTGCATCATTAGCAAGAATGTATTTGCTTGCTTCTTAGAAGCATTTTTGTAGAAATTACTATCACGATTTCATTTAATTGTTGCCAACTAATATCCGTGTGTTGTCTCTTAAACTCATAGGATAACTAGATTTTACACCCCTAAATGCAGGATGATATTGTATTGACCCTTTATTTTAGTTTGAAATGGTCAAAAGTGATTAGGAAAAGTGAAAGAAGATCTTAATTAGTTCAATTTTTTTTGGGGGGAGGGGAAGACAAGCAATGTTATAAAATTTTAATGAATAGAAAATTTAGGAAGAAAGATTAAGGAAAACCAATTAAAAACTATTTCACTTCTTAATCTTAAAAAAAAAAAATCGTGCAAATCTCCTCGTTTCCTTCTTCCATTTCCCTCAAACCATACAAAGAAAAGAAAGTTTAATATTGTATAAATATCAATGTGATAATTTTATCAAAATGATAAGGTTTAGAAGGCGTGACATAGAATTGTATAAGTAATTAAAATTTACTAACTATAATAATGAAAACATAAGCAATTATATGTTTAATTTTGGTGCATCTATTTTTGATAATTAAACTAAATAAATATATTCTTATATAAAAATATAAACAACAACTTCATTTTTAACTTCAGTTCAATATGATTAAAATAAAATTTAAGGATTTTAACTTTTAATGATTAAAATAGTTAACCAAATTATAAGAACAAAAATACGTAACTTTGTTGTTACAATCTCGAATCCGCTTCTTTTTTTTTTTTTTTAACTGTAGTCTCATATTTATTATTTATTTATTTTCTACTATAGATCCCACACCTACAATTTTTAATCATGAGCCTCATATTCTTTCAACTTCTGCTAATAATATGAAAATAAAAATTCAAAGAAACTAACTGAGGAAAAGAAAGTAAAATTTTAAATTTGAGAGAGGTTCACTTTTCAAAAACACAGTAAATGAACTGTGAAGTGTGAACCACCAAGCTTAACAAGATATAAAGATAAAGATATCCCATGGCTAAATTGATTTAATATTGTTCATTATATATAATTCATAATCATTTATCATATTTTATTGCACAATTGTTTTGATTCTTAAGTTAAACTTAATTTAAATTTAATTCTTAGACTATAATTTCAAAATTTGCATTTTAATTTAATTTATAATCATTACAAGTGTGACACATGAATAATATGGTTAAATTTTTATATTATATATAGATCTAATTGATATTACTATAATCGATCATATTTTTTGTGCTCTAAATCTATCCAATTCATCTCAATCACTCACTACTTGACATCACGCACGTCAGATGAATACAATCCATCTAACAATTCAACGCGATCATGGTCATGTTATAGAATGGTGCTTCAGATGAAGATCAGCATGCTGGCAGCCAAAGAATGAACAGATTCAAAGCTGAGCACAGTTATGGGTTAGTTGAGAAATTTTCTACAAAGAAATCAATTTTATTTGATTGTGATGCAAATAATACCATGACATGTGCTTCGTCCATTCTCTCTGGCTCTGCAGGCAAGGTTTTTTTTGAACAAGGAATTACTACAGTTAAGCCAAGTCATGTCTAGCTTAAACGTTATTCCCTGATTAAACTAATCACTATATGGGTAAGAACATTTATGACTCACTTTTAAAAGTTTTATACGCAAGTGAAATCATTCAACTAAATCAGAAATCATATTAGCTCCAACTTGATGACATTCGCTGCAATTACAATCCCCGGCCTTCTCAATTGATTTGGTAATGGCTGAGCCTGAAGAAAATGAAAATCAGTTTGAATCACTTTCGTGCGTTGCATCTCATGAAGCAATTAAAATTAGGGACGTGAGATAACAACTATCAAAATCCTATTTGTAAATAGACTTTGACTAGGCCAACAGCTAATTGGATCTCTCAAGATATTCCGCAAGAATGAGTCAGTTTTAAGTATCATCAAGAACTTAAGATGAATGACGCCTTGTAAATATTGTAGAGCCCCAATGGAGCAGATGTCAGCACTGAAAAAGCCAGCACATCTGTAACGATGGACTCGGTTAATTTTCCAGACTTGTAACTGTATCAGCCATAGTGCGTTGACGGAGATACATGACTTAAGTCTGGGGCAAGCGATGTTTTATAGAGTACCAGAAATGAAAACTCAAGACATATTCAGAACTCCTATGGTGTTAATTTTTATTAAAAAAATTTATTTAAGTAAATCCTTCTAAAACAATCATATCACGTTGATCACTCCACATTTTAAAAGAAATCAAACTACCAATAGATCTACAACCAAGAAACAAGAAAGAATGATAAAGAAAAACGAGTTTCAATCTTGACATGTACAGTATTTAGTATGAAGTAAGGATAGGATCGTGGGAATAATGAATTTAAGGCGTACGAAACATTGAAAATAAAAACAGGACAAGGAGCACAAGAAACATGTATCGAACAGCGAAAAGTCAGATCCCATTCAAGAGACATCCAACTTGATATATCCGATAACATTTATGTAGCTGGCTACAGAAGCATCAATCATTATTACACGCACATCAATGTGCACGCATCAGGACACTGTTTAGAGTTGAACCAGCAACCTCTATACATTCTGTCTTCCCCCTTAACTGACAAAGAAATGCCCAGGGTCAAAAAGATGCCTAATTACCTCTACATAAGCACTGCAAGCGTATAGCAGACACGTCCAAACCAAACAGAAGACCAGGTCACCACAAGTTCATCATCGATTTAAATGAGCTTTTTCGGGAAAAGCAGCCATAAGATGCTTCTAGATCGAAGGATTATCAAATTTCATATTACCACCTCACTCATCACTAGATGTCTCAGAACATCTGTCAAAACCAAGTCAATAGGAAGGATTCGGGGGGGAAGGGCTAATAAAAACTGTGATATATCATAACAGCAGGAGATGATAGATATAACAAAATCTAATGTGCAGATTTAAAGGATACACGTTGAGGATTTCCGAGAAATACATTTTCTATCAAATAAAAGACCGAAAGCAACACCTCATTATTTCTACACGCAAACCCAAATTGCAACAACAAAAACTAAGCATAGGCTCGCCGACTGACCTCTCTTCGCCGTCTTCTGTCGCTGCTCACGAAAACAAAGGGCTTATTCGATGATATTTATAAGGAGCCTTATATCTTGGGAGTCCGGATTAGGGTTCCAGGAGGCTTGAATTAGGGTTTAAGGATTCAAAGTTCAAACGAACCACCGCCTAAATGGTTGAATTTCGTTTTCTTTGCTACTCCACCCCCCATCCCGGGGTATATTGTTAGCGTCTAAGCCCAGCGTATTAACTTTCCAACCTTTCACTAGGCCAGGCCCTCGCTTGAGCCCATATTCATTATCCATGAAATTTTCCAACCTATATATAACTAAATGGGTGCAATCATTAATGTTCTGTTTGATTGAAAAGAAAATATGAGAAAAAAAATGAAAAAAATAGAAAAGAAAACAATTTTTTCCGGTTTGAATAGAAAAAAAAATAAAAGGAAAGAAAATATGAGAAAAAAATAAGATGTGGCCATTATATTTTCTTTCCATCTTTTTTCTCCCAAAGTGGAGAGATTTTGGGAGTAATTTTTTTTCCAATATCTGCCCTTCTTCTTGTTCTCATTTGTTTTGCGCTCAGACTCCCATTTATTTTTATTTTCATGTGTCTCAGCTCAGGAGGCTCCCATCTTTGACCGACCTAGTCAAAGCATCGTTCAATGGCTTCTTTTTCTTCTTCGGCGTGCTCTAGCTACAACTTCTGGACTCATCAAGGTTAGTTCTTCTCTTCTTCAACATCGTCTTCATTCTAGTTTGATAATGTATCTACAGTGTATTTATTGCCATCAGTTTCATTCTTATTTCTTTAACATTCAGCACACCTATTCTGCCTATGTTTGTAATATTTTAATTTGATAAACAAGGAGACAAAAAGCAAGATAGGAATTTTGTAGATGATCTATTTGAGTTCCACCTCATGATTGTTTTTGTTCCATTTTAGATCATTTAGCAAAATTTACAAGAGGGAGATACTAATTCTTTTTACTTCTCAATTAAGTCCTTTTGTCTTCTTAGGATAATATAGAAGTAATGAATGATTTTGTTGGACTAATTTCATAATATTGAATAATGTGCTATTCTGTTCTTCATACCTAACTAGCGTGAAGTTTTTCCATGGGCCTTTTTTTATTTTTATTTTGCCTAATGTAAAGATATTATATTTATATAAATCTAGCAAGAGTACCTCGTATTCATCCTTTATTTAATTAGAATGGAATGAGTGATTGATTATGAGATACCTCTTGTTCATGATTTATTTATATAAATTTGGCAAGAGTACCTCTTGTTCATGGCCACAAACCCCATTTGAATTGTTGCTTAAATAAACTAATATAAACCAGCCTTATTCTACAAAGACAAACAAAAATAAGCATAGCTCCTAATAATATCCCACATTAATTTTCCATGTCAATGTCCTGCTATTTGGGTCTGAAATTTTAAAACATGTAAGTTGTAACAACCTGCAGAAGGCAAAGCTGTCTCCAAGCCTCAAGTATTTGCAAGGGAGAAAAGCAATAACATTTGTATGTGAATAACATTCATGTCAGTAAGCAGATGATTACAGTTGCAGGTCACAAATCTTTGCAACATGCTATATAGTATAACGACCATATAATGTTTACATTTTTTGCTCATAGTATTTTCTGTTCCTTTTACTTTAAGGAGAAGTAATAGTTGGATGCTTTAGTTGATTATCTCATCAGCTTCTCCTTGAATCGCATATGAAATAGACTTTTTTAAGGTGTGTACATATCTATCTAAATTATAATAATCCCTTTGAATGGGAATGAAGCCTCAAATTATAATTTTATGCTTTATTTAATTCTTGATTCTTTATTTATTGTATCTTTAAAGCTTATATCATAGCAACTAATTAGTTCATGGCCACCATATTCTAAGTTACTTTTTACATGCTCATTACAACTTTGTATCAATATATGGCTGTGTGGTTTTGAATTGTTATATAGATAAGCAACCATAATAGTGAAGGAATGATCAAGGATATTGAAGAAGACTTTATGGATTTTGAGTTTGAAGTTAAAAGGTTAATTGATTTTGAAGTGGCTAATGGAAGTTCTATAGACTTGAGCCTTCTGTTAAACGATTAGGAACGTCGTAGGCATATGTGTATCGTATAAATTATTTGTATGATTGTACATGTAATTTATTTGTTGGAAAATTTCAAGGCTAGTTAATAAACCTATAAGTGATGGTAAAGGTCAAAGAGAGAGCATGAGGAGAATATTCATGCAAAAATTACAAGACACAGAACAATGTCATGATGTTCTTCACATAGGACCACAAGCATTTTTGCAATTGTGCGAGAAACTTTAAAACACTGGCATAATTAAGGATTCTAGAAATGCTACAGTTGAAGAGCAAGTGGCAAAATTTCTCCACATATTAGGACATAATGTAAGAAATAGAACAATGGCTTTTTCCTTTAGCTGATCTGGAGAGACTATTAGTTGTCATTTTCATAATGTATTATGAGCTATTATTTTTCTTGAGGCTGAATATCTTGTGCAATCCTTTGGGTCAATGGTTCCTCCTGAAATTCTAACTAATGAAAGACTTTATCCGTATTTTAAGGCATTTTTTTATATTTGTGCATAATGTTAAAATTTTCTATTGTGTATATATATAAATGACACCATTATTTTTATAATAGGATTGCATTGGAGCTATAGATGGAACTTATGTTTGAGAAAAAGTACTTAGAGAAAAAGTTGGTTGATTTCAAGGACGTAGAGATTACCTTACTCAAAATATCTTTGCTGCATGTTCATTTGATATGAAATTTACTTACGTATTGGTCAGACGGGAAGGAACAACCTCAGATTCAATAATCTTAACAAATGCTTTATCAAGAGAGGATAAACTTATAATTCTCCCAGATGAATAAGTAGCTATTATATATTATCAATTATTATTTGCTTTTATTGACTAAAAATGCTTATGGATTAATTTATGTTGTTTAGGGAAATTTTATCTTAGGGATGCTGGCTTCCCACTCAAGCGTGGTCTAATAACACCTTACAAAGGAGTCCAATATCATTTGAAGGAATATTCAGTAAAATTACCACAAACTGTAAGAGAAATTTTCAACCATAGACATGTATCATTGAGAAAGTTATTGAAAAGAACATTTGGTGTTTTAAAAAAAAAGATTTTTCATAATTAGTAGTGGCACCAAGCCATATTATGCTTTTGAGACTATGGTTGACATTGTGATAGCTTGTTGCATATTACACAATTATTTAATGTGTTGACCCTGATGAGAATCTAATAGCTCAAGTTGATCATGAATTATCACACAATCGTGACATGGATGATCAAGTTGCATCCAATCAAGAGGATGACTATAGACAAGGATCAAATTTAAGAGAAATATAGCAACTCATATATGGCATGACTATTTAACTCATATGAATCATGGATTGTGATTCAAACTATTTGCTTGAGATGTTGCCTTGTATTACTTAAAAGTATGTGTTTCAATGTATTAATTTGAAGTGTGCGTTGGCCTTGTATTTGTTGAAGTATAATGATATTTATTTTATAAATTAAGCATTTGAACAATTGCTTACTACTTGATTACAATAATTGCTTGCTTCTTAAATAATGTATGCATAATTTTTATGTAGATTGAACAATGGCATCAAAAAGGAAGGAATCAACAAAAGACAATTTGCGTTGGACTCCTAAAATGGATGAAAAATTCATTGATACCTTATTGAAAGGGACAATGAAAGGAAATCGTCCTGATGGCACATTTTCAACATTCGTATATGATAACATGGTGGAGACTCTTAATAGTTCTTTTGGGTCTCACATTGCAACACAATATTTGAAGAATAGAAAGAAGACATTGTCACAAAGATTTTTAGATCTTTATGATTTATTTCATGAATTGAGTAGATTCTCATAGAGTCCTATCACAAAATTGTTTGAAGCAGATAATCAAATTTGGAATGATTTGATCAAGGTAAGTAATCTATTTATATTTAATCTATTTATGTTAATGGAATGAATACTTAGATGATTTGATTAAGATGAGTAGTCTATTTAGGAATCCACATCTCCTTTTGTGTTTGTAGAAAAAGCCAAATGCAAGAAAGTGAAAGAATACACCTGTATTACATTATGACAGATTGCATGACCTATTCAGTGTAGATAGGGCAACAGGAAAATATACTAAAAGTGCTAAGGAAAGGGTTGCCCGATGGGAGTAAGAAGGCAATCAATTAAATGACTTTATTGCAGATGTACCTAATTATAATTATCAACACGAGTCACCAAATTCACCAGTTAAATTAGAGTATAGCCCAACATATGGGGCATTGGTAGGAACTACATCAGGCAGAGGACAAAAGCATAAGGCTTCAATGGTTGAAGCTATTGAAGAAAGGTGTGAAAAAATGACAACAGAAATAATGAAACCGATTGATGTCATGCGAAATAGGAATGGTGTTGTTGAGAGGCAAGTTCAAACTTCTAAGAGGCAAGCTCAAGCTGTTGAAAAGTAGGCTCAAGTTACTAGAAGGGTCTTTCAATACTTGAAAAGAATAGGCCTCGTCATTATAGTGAAGAGGAAGTGTAGGCTGTAATTGAGGAGATTGGAGTGCTTGAAGAGAGCAAAGAAAAATGCTACTTCTTCTTATGTGATGATGATAAATGCAAGAGAACTTTCTTTAGGGTTCTACAACATAGGCGATTACGAACATTGCTCAATATGATGACTAAAGTTGGAGTTCAATGAACAAAGTAAAGATATGGGGTTGGACTTTTTTTGTTTATGAATAGTAGTATTTTTAATTTGTGATGACATGATGGCCTTTTTTTGCTTAGGAAAACATATATATTATATCATGCTTTTCAGACTTGTTGGTCTTTTTTGTTTAGTGAACATATATATTTTGTCATGATGCTTATGATGTATTGACAACTTGACCATAGTGTTTATAATATTTCATTATCAATGTGTTGGAGATTTTGTTTCTATAAGTATAATGTTTTATTTTATCAGTGCCCACTTTTGATTTTAAAATATGAAAATAACATATTTTTACTAAATTACTTGATTTTAAAGTATAATATAAAAATACATTTTTAACAAATAATTTGATTATAAATTAATTTTATTATGTTAATTTTAATATAATTTTAGCTTTCAATTTATTTTTATAAATATAATTATATGAAACATGATATATTTTGATATAAAGGAATTATAGTCATCATGATATCTGCTCATTTTCTT